AAAACAACAGAGGTTTACTTATTATTCTTTTTACAGTTCTGGAGACCAGAATATGAAATGAGTCTTACAGGGTTAAAATCAAGTTTTGGCAGTGCTGTTTGCCCTCCAGAGGCTCCACGGGAGAATTCTTTCCTTGCTTCTTGCAGCATTTGTCAACTGCTGGCATTCTTGGCTGCATCACATTCCAGTGTCTCCTCCAACTTTACCATGGCTTTCTCCTCAGTGTGTCTGTCTAGTCTCCCTCTGCCCTCCTCTTGTAAGGATTTGTGTGTTAGCAGTTAGGACCCACTTGGGTCATTCAGGATAATCTCAATGCAAGATTCTGAATTATATCTGCACAATTTTACCGTATAAGCCAGTATTCACAGGAATTAGGACCTGATATCTTTGAGGGCCACCATTCAACTCACTTCAGGAAAATAAGCAACAAATTTTCGTTTTCTCTTTTTGTGTGTGTGGGAAAGGTGAAACGTCTTTATAATGGTCTTTTCCCAAGTCCTACTTGTCTCCAAAGAAGGCAGGCATTAAGGCTGTTGTGAAATGAGTGTTTCCATAAAGAATAAATTAAGTTTGTTTTTTCATCTTTAGATGGCACCATATTATATACTATTAATACCGATTTTGCATGTTTTCTTGAGTATAATATGTTACTAGTCCTATAATTCAGTTGCCCTAGTGTACCTGTTAATTAAATGATTTTTTATGTAAAAATTCCTTTTTGGTTTAATTGTACATCACAAGATAAAAAAATTTAAAAGTTTAAATTTTATCTGTTATATCTATATAGAAGTTAATTTTCACTTTTTTGAAGGAAAATATGAGATGCTGTTAGTGTGAGATATTTAAAGAAATTAAGATACAGAATGTTTTGTATTATTCCCTATCTTTCTTTCCGTGTTTGTATTTTTCTTTTGGCACTGTTATTCTGTTTACCTAGTTCTTAGAAAGGATGTTTATACAGATTTAAAATCTGAAAAATCGTAGAACAAGATTTCCTTAATTAAGGGCTTTATAATAGCTTGAGTTTTAATTTTGAGTTTATTATGCTTTATTTGATTTCACCCAGTTAAGTTAGAATAATAATTAATTGTAATTTTAAGTGGTGTTTACTAAGTAAATATATTAGTTCATCCAGAAAATAGTTTATATTGCAAATTTAATTAGATTCCCTAAGGGAATTCATAATATTACTTGGTAATTTAACTAAATAATCTTTTTTTTAGAGGGGAAAGAACATAAAGCCTCACACAATATGTAAATTATTAAAATAGTGTTCATAGTATTTAAATTATTTTATTAAAATCACTGTTATTAATACTGATATTTTGTCTTTTTTATATTGTCAAATAAATTGTACACTCATTTTATTTCTGTTTGGGGTTACAGTTATGCATCACACCAACAATTAGTTTGTCTGCTGATAAAACAAATCAAGAATAGGATTATGATTGGGGTGCCTGAGTGGCTCAGTTGGTCGAGTGTCTGCCTTCTGCTCAGGTCATGATCCAGGAATCCTGGGATCGAGTCCCGCATCGGACTCCCTGCTTGTCAGGGAGTCTGCTTCTCCCTCTGCCTACCGCTCTCCTCTCCGTGCTTGTGCTCTCTCTCATTCGATCTCAAATAAATAAATAAAATCTTTAAAAAAAAAAAAAAGAATAGGATTATGACTGCTTTTATCTTATAGCTGAACAAATAGTACTTTTGATTTTTTTCCCGTCAGTGCTTTAAACACTCTTTATATGGTTATTGTGCTTTCTTTTGACCATTATATTCAGTCTTCTCTGCTTGCTTTTTTCCCCTCGACTCAGCTTGTAGATACTGGCTGTCCCGATGGCCCATTCTTGAACTCTTTCCAACTCAGTACTATGATGTTAGGTGATGTCTTCCATTTCTGTGATTTTATAGTACTAACCATATTCCCAGAACTTTAAATTTTATATATTCATCCCAGACCTCATGTCAGAGATCTATAATCATCTGACTAACACCTCGATTGACTCTCTTTCAGATATCTCACATTATACAAATAGATGATTGAATCTTTGATTCTAACTTCTGCTTCAAAAAACAAAATGAAACTCTCACCAGCACAGCAACAAAAACAAAAATCTTGTTCAACCCCCATCTCTTTTATTAAATAGCCTCTTATTTATCCCACATAGACAGTCACTTGCCCAATGTTTAAGTACTAATACAAAAATATATTTCAAAATCTATCTAATTTTCTTAGACTCATTCTTGTGATCTTAATTTAAACTACCATAATCTCTCTCTAGGACCACTTTATTATTTATGGGTCTATAATGCTAGCTATTATACAGAATAATGAACTGGGCATAATTTTGATTTTAGGATTTCAGATTAATTGTAAACAGTAATTTTTTAACTCCTAGGATTCTGAAGTTACAAGAGTAAGAGGTAAAACCCCACATGTAAAAGAAACATCCTAAACTTAAAAAAATAATGATTTAATTTTTCCTCCTCAGTAGAACTGCCTGATGCGTGGGTGTCCAGAGGAGGTAAGCCAGGATATTGAGAAACTTCTGTTTCAAGTTCAGATTTTGGTTTCTAGTAATTCTGTCTGTCCTTTTATTTAGTCATTTAGAATCTTATGGTGGTAGGAAGATGAATCCAAATTAATTCTCAAATAATCATAACTAATTTTTTTTGCCTATTATAAAATTTTATATTAGGTGAGTGTGTGTTTGCACTCACATAAACATATATTAATACATTTATATTAGTATTATGAATAGGGAATTTACTATATTGCTAAGTAAATAGGTCTCATCCCTTAGGGTAAGGAAGTTAGAAATTGGTAGGAGGCTCTTCTTATGAGGGCAGAACACAAGTTGAATGATGTATGGTGGGTTAATGTACACCATAGATGTTCTTCCTGACAGAGGTAAATAATATTCTTATTTTTTAACCAAATAGTATAATGAATTAATGTAAGCAAAATATATATCTATGATGAGGTAGCAGTGGTTCTCAACAAGTTGTAGGGGCATTTGAACCCCAGGGGACATTTTTCGGCTGTCATGATTAGAGGGTTTTAATGGCATCTGGTGGGTAAGTGCTGGGGATGCTGCTAAATATCCTACAATACCCAGGATAGCGCTACGCAACAAATCGTCATGGAGCCTAAAATGACAATAGTGCTTCAGTTAAGAAACTCTTTTAGGATATTTTTTCAACCTGCCACATACTTGTTGTCTTAAGTATTTTTCACAATTTCATTTAACTAACCTTTAAAATAGGTGTAAATAGTTATAATAATTCCAGGATTTTATTTTTGAGAAAACTGAAATGATTGGAAGTATATTTGTGTGTACTTGGAATAATAAGGAATCGAGAATGAATACCAGGTTTCTGGCTTGCACAATTGAACAGGAGGATGTTGGTGACATTATCTGAGATAAGAGAAACAGATGTGTGGAAGAAGATTTTCAGTTCAGATTTTGCAGAATTTGTACAGACTTTGTACAATTTTAGGTGTCTGAGAGATATCAAGAGAAATTGTGAAGATCAGAACATAAGTGTTCAGACATAGCTTTAATTTGAAATCTGTTGATATATAAATATAATTTGACCCTGGGATTGGATGAAATCACCCAGTAAAGTGTACATCTTAAGAAGGAAAGGGTACCTTGTCACAGCTCTTAGGAGCATCGACATTCACAGTACAGGGGAAAATCCAGCAAGAGACTAAGAAGTAGCCAGAGAGATAATAAGTGATGCAGGAAGTATAGTCTCCCAAGCCAAGAGAAAGGAAATTCTTCCAGTTAGATGAGTCGTTATTTATACAGAGGCTGTTGTGACCTAGGTGGGCAGGAAGTGATTAGAAACCCAGTTACAGTGGGTTGAGAAATCCATGGTAAGTAAGAAATTTAGTTGTGTTGTAGGTTTATGTAAGTTTGGCTGTGAAGGAGGAAGAGGTAGAGGCGGACGTGGGATCTGGGGAGGACTTTTTGTGTTTTTGAAAAGATCAGAGAGAATTCCTCATTGATATATTTTTTTTTAATTAAAACTTTTTTTTTTTAAAGACTTTTATTTATTTATTTGACAGACAGATCACAAGTAGGCAGAGAGGCAGGCAGAGAGAAAGAGGAGGAAGCAGGCTCCCCACTGAGCAGAGAGCCCGATGCGGGGCTCGATCCCAGGACCCTGGGATCATGACCTGAGCCCAAGGCAGAGGCTTTAACCCACTGAGCCACCCAGGTGTCCCTCCTCATCGGTATTTTAAAAGATAAATTCTAAAGATATCAAAGCATATGAAGTACAATTTGTTAATAAACAAGCTTTTAATGAGGATATATATATTTAAGATTTTGTTTATTTACTTGAGAGTGTGAGCGAGAGGGAGCACAAGCTGGGGAAGGGACAGAGGGAGGTGGAGGAGCAGACTCCCCACTGAACAGGGAGCCTGATGTGGGACTCTAGCCCAGGATCCTAGGATTATGACCTGAGCGGAAGGCAGATGCTTAACTAACTAAACCATGCAGGTGCCCTAAATGAGTATATTTCTATATGACTTTTTTGCCTTCGTGGTCATGATGGATGATATTTTATAGTATGTATTTGCAAAAGATTTTATTTATTAGAGAAATAGAGAAAGAGAGAGAGCAGGGGAGGAGCAGAAAGAGAAGGATAAGCTGACTCTGGCTTGATCTCAGGACCCTAAGATCACGACCTGAGCTGAAATCAAGAGTTGGACGCTTAACTGACTGGGCCACCCAGGTGCCCCAATATTTTATAATACTTTATGTACGTATGTGTGTACGTATGTAAACTCTATGACCAATGTGGGGCTTGAACTCAACAATACTGAGATCAAGAATCACACGCTCTACCAACTGAGCCTGCCAGGTGCCTCATATTTTATTATATTTTAAATAGTTGCTTAGATGCTAAGTGATTCAGCAAGTATGAAAATAGTTCTGTTAATTATAATAGATACTGTATATTTTTGGCACTCAAATATTACTTTTCTTTTTCAGATCTTTCAAGAAATCGCTTTACAGAAATTCCTTCCGATGTCTGGTTATTTGCACCTCTTGAGACGTTAAATTTATATCATAATTGCATCAAAACCATTCCTGAAGCCATTAAAAACCTGCAGATGTTAACATACCTTAACATTAGGTAAGGAAACATTTTTTGGGGTAGATTTTGTTTTTTATTACAGTTCTAATCCTTTTTAGTAACAAAGGAATGTGTTTGGTTTGACTGTGTAACCTATATTTATCTCAACAGTACCTTATTTGTATTTGTTATACCTTCACATTACTTTATAGGTGTTTGGTCTTGTTCTTGAGAGCAGTGCTTCTCATCCCAGCCTTTAATTGGCCCAGGAGTCACGTGGGGATTAAAACATCTGATTGCATAGCTCTGCAGTGGGGCCTGCATTTCTAACAAGCCCCCTGGTAATGCCAGGCTTTATTTAGATCAGAAATATTTTACTGAAATCATAGCACCACGATGCAGATTTATTTATATGCATTTTCAGTTAAAGTGAAACATTATAAAGAAACAGTTCTTGAGCTATAGTGTTCACTCTTGTGAGTTCTCCTTGCTACTTTAAGGATGGATAGGTTGTGTTGGGAGTGTTGGAATTTTAGGAAGTAGATGAAGGTGTTAATACTTAATAGATGCTTACTATGTGCCAGACAATGTTACAAATACCTTACCCATATTACCTCATCTCCTCTTCACAACAGCATTTTGAAAGAGGTACTATTTATTTATTTATTTATTTATTTTTTTAAAGACTTTACTTATTTGAGGGGCGCCTGGGTGGCTCAGTTGTTAAGCTTCTGCCTTTGGCTCAGGTCATGATCCCAGGGTCTTGTGATCGAGCGCCCTGCCCAGTGGGGAACCTGCTGCTTCTCCCTTTCCCTCTGCCTGCCCTCTGCCTGCTGCTACTCCTGCTTATGCACTCTGCACTCTCTCTCTCTTTCTCTTTGTCAAATAAATAAAGTCTTTTCTTTTTTTTAAAGGACCACTTTCTTGTTTTTTTTGTTTTGTTTTGTTTTTCTTTAATTGTAAGTGTTAATTTCTTCCCTCTCCTTAACAAAGTTACAATGTCTGAATTCCCATACAGGAAGGTGGTAAATATAATTAATGTATATAAATAATAATGGTCCTTTCTCACTGTGATACATTAATCCTTCTATTTGTCTCCTCCAGTGGTGTCACCTGGCAGTACATACTCTTTTTTAACTGAACCTTTATACCTTAAAATGTGTGAATTCCTTTCATAGACAGTAGTCATTTGGGTTGCTCTTTTCTTTAATTCTCTAATCTGCTTGGCCTGGCTTGGGAGAGGTTTTGAGGCAAGTGAGGTACTTTTAATTTTTGTCTTTATTTTTGTTTCACTTTGTTCTCTTATGGAAAAAAGTGATTTGTCAAAAATTGAATTATATTTCTATACTAATAGAAATGTATGGTTATCTTAAAATAGTTCTACTAAAACTTTCTCTGATTCCTGTTTTGATCTTTATTTATGTATTTTTAAAAAGATTTTACATATTTATTTTTATGAGAGAGAGAGAGCGCATATGCGAGAGCAGGGGGGTGGGGTAGAGGGAGAAGCAGACTTTCCCCTGAGCAGGGAGCCCAATGCTAGATTTGAACGCAGGACCCTGGGATCATGACTTGAGCAGAAGGCAGATGCTTAACCTACTGAGCCACCAGGCGCCCCATTTTGATCTTTAAAAGTTGTCTCCTGATACTTGTTTATAGTCACAAACGTTTTTGAACAAACTTTATTGAAATAACATTAGTCTTCATTTCGACTTCCTTTGTCTCTAAAACATGGCAAAAAAGTGAAAATTGATGACTTATTAGCTGTGTATAAACAAATTCAATTCTGGAGAAAGCTGACTGCTAACTCAATGAACCTGCTTCTTAAAGTAAGAAAATAGGCCAATTTTTTAAAAAGTAAACTCTAGGCCCAACCTGGTGCTTGTACTCATGACCCCGCAGATCAAAGGTCACACGTTCTACCGACTAAGCCAGCCATGTGCCCCCCAAAATAGGCCAATTTTTAATCTTTTTTTGGTCCGAAGGAGATTAGAATGAATTTGTATGTGTCATTAGTTTTCCCACTTTATTTTTTATTTTGTTTTTTATTTTGGTGAAAATATCTTGAGAAACTTCTAAGATGGTTTTTCAGCTCTCTCTTTCTGTATAATACTCCCTTGTGTGCTCTACATTGGCTACTTTCCCAAGGATCCTGTTTGATCCTGAAAATGTCAAGAGTTGTAACAAGCACCTGACATTCTAGCAGCCTGGCCACGATTGTGGTTTAGGGCCATTGTCTTTTTTTTTTTTTAAAACCTGTGCCTTGTGATTAAAGCCAGTCTAGTGTTTCTGAATGTCCTCAGGTCTTGATGTTCTTCCCTGGGGTAACACTAGGTTTTTTTTTTGCTGTGTATATTACATAAAATGCTGGGGACAGGTCTATAAGTGCCACTTTGAGGGGCACCTGGGCAGCTCAGTTGGTTAACCGTCTGCCTTCTGCTCAGGTCATGATCCCAGGGTCCTGGGATCGAGCCCCACATCAGGCTCCCTGCTCAGCAAGAAGCCTGATTCTCTCTCTCCCTTTGCCTGTCGCTCCCCTTGCTTGTGCTCTCTCTGTCAAATAAATAAATAAAATCTTTAAAAAGAAAGAAAGAAAGAAGGAAAGAAAGAAAGATTTTATTTATTTATTTGACAGAGATCACAGGTAGGCAGAGAGGCAGGCAGAGAGATAGGGGGAAGCAGGCTCCCCACTGAGCAGAGAGCCCAATGCAGGGCTTGATCCCAGGACCCTGAGATCATGACCTGAGCCAAAGGCAGAGGCTTAACCCACTGAGCCACCCAGGCACCCCAAATAAAATCCTAAAAAAAAAAATACCACTTTGAAAAGCAGGAAAAATAACTTATTTTTATGAATACTTAATACTATGTAAATGTAATGGTATACTTTATATTTTTTGGTGGGGCGATTATCTTAGTCTGTTTGGGCTGCTATGATAATACCATGTATTGGGTGCCTTGCTCCCGAAGCAATCTACACATTTAATGCAATCCCTATCAAAATACTCCCAGCATTTTTCACAGAGCTAGACCAAACAATCCTAAAATTTGTTCAGGACTACAAAAAATTCTTTTTTTTTTTTTTAAGATTTTATTTATTTATTTGATAGACAGAGATCACAAGCAGGCAGAGAGACAGGCAGAGAGAGAGGAGGAAGCAGGCTCTCCGCCGAGCAGAGAGCCTGATGTGGGGCTCGATCCCAGAACCCTGGGATCATGACCTGAGCCAAAGGCAGAGGCTTTAACCCACTGAGCCACCCAGACGCCCCAGGACTACAAAAAATTCTAAATAGCCAAAGCAATCCTGAAAAAGAAAAGCAAAGCTAGAGGCATCATGATTCTAGACTTTAAGCTCTATAACAAAGCTTCAGTCATCAAGACAGCATGGTATTGGCAGAAACACACGTAGATCAATGGAACAATAGAAAACCCAGAAATGGACCCACAGTTGTATGTTGAACTAATCTTCAACAAAGTGGGAAAGAACATCCAATGGAAAACAGTCTCTTCAACAAATAGTGTTGGGAAAACTGGACAGCAACATGCAGAATGAAACTGGGCCACTTTCTTATACCATACACAAAAATAAATTCAAAATGGATGAAAGACATAAGATAGGAAACTACCAAAATCCTAGAGGAGAACACAGGCAGAAACCTCTTTGACCTTAGCCATTGCAACTTCTTACCATGTATTGGGTGCCTTATAAACAACAGAAGCTTATTTTTCACATTTCTGGAAGCTGAGACATCCAAGATCAAGTCACCAGCAGATTCAGTGTCTCATTGAGGACCTGCTTCCTGGTTCACAGGCAGCCATCTCCTAGCTGTCCTCACTTGGTAGAGGGAGCAAGGGAGCTCTCTGAGGTATTTTTACACTTAATTTTAGCCAAACGGCCAAGAAGTGGTCTCTGAGGTATTTTTTACAAGAGCACTAAACCTGTTCATGAAGGCTCTACCATTATGACCTAATCACCCCCCAAAGGCCCCACTTACAAATATCATCACATTGGGATTAGGTTTCAACATTATAAATTTGTGGGGGACACAAACATTGAGTCTACAGCAGGGGTCATTTGGTCACTCTGTATTGGTGTATAATTTGACCCACAGTAGGTTGAGGGTAAGGACCTCAGAGCCATATTGCCCAGATTAGAATCCTGGCTCTCTTATTTACAAGCTGTGTGACTTTGAGCAGTTTGCTTAATCTCTCTCTCTTTTTTTTTTCCATTTTATTTATTTTTTATTTTTTAAATTATTTTTATTTTTATTTATTAACATATAATGTATTATTAGCCCCAGGGGTACAGGTCTGTGAATCGCCAGGTTTACACACGTCACAGCACTCACCATAGCACATACCCTCCCCAATGTCCATAACCCAACCACCCTCTCCTTACCCCCTGCCCCCGGCAACCCTCAGTGCTTAATCTCTTTTTGACTGATTCTTCCTCTGTAAAATGGGCATCGTGATATGCTCTGTTTTCCTAAAGTTGGTTGTTGTGACATTAGTGGAGTTAATTCATGTGAGGTGCTCTGAACATGGCTTGACACATAGTAAACAATACATGTTAGTTCTTTTATTTAAGTGTATCCATAGAGATAGGAATGTTTTATCAACTTGGAACTGAGGTAACGGTGTTAGTGGGCTGTTATACTGTAAACCCATAAGAGAAGAGAGTGGGGGCACCTGGGTGGTTCAGTGGTTGGCGTCTGCCTTTGGCTCCGGTCATGATCCCAGGGTCCTGGGATCTAGGCTCACATCAGGCTCCCTGCTTGGCGGGAAGTCTGTTTCTCCCTCTCCCACTCCCCCTGCTTGTGTTCCCTCTCTGTGTCTCTCTCTGTCAAATAAATAAATAAATAATCTTAAAAAAATAAAGAAAAAGGAAAGGGAGTGGATTAGGGTTTTATATGTCTTTGAAGATGTAGTTCTATTAAATTCTTTCATAGATTTGAACTTAGTGCATGCAAACTTATCCTTAGAACCTTTCCTTTGTTAGAGGCAGGGAGGTATTGAATGCAGTGAAATGATACCAGAGAACAAGGTTCTGACATTTTCTAACTCAGAAGAATGATTTTGCATTTTAAGAACTGATGGTATGTAAAATAATATCATAGGTAACAACACAAGCTTTGCAAACTTTTGTGACTGGGCAAGTCCCTTAGCTAGATTTACCCTTTGTTTTCTTATGTGTATAATAGAGATAATTAGTACTGCCTGTCTTATGGGGTTACTGTGAGTATTAAATGAGATAGTGCATTTAAGGATTTTAGTGTGATACAGAGTAAGCGCTCTTTAAATGATAGTCATTGTCTGGTGAAAGCTTTTTCTCTTTTGAGGTGATTTGTTCACCTCAACATAATGTGAGAGATTTCAGACATATCCCATAATGAGACTTTCTTATTCTTTTCAGTCGAAATCTTTTATCAACATTGCCAAAATACCTATTTGATCTTCCCCTTAAAGTTTTGGTCATCAGTAATAATAAACTGGTATCCATTCCAGAAGAAATTGGCAAGTTAAAAGACTTAATGGAATTGGTGAGTAAAATAATTGCATTGATTTTGTATCTATAACACATGCCTTTATATTTTGGAAGATTGCTCTTTATGGAATTTCAGTGTAATTTTATTTTTAAAGAATAACTTTGTATACACTTATGTTCACCTTAGTAAAATTTTGAGATGCCATTGCTTATGTCTGATTTTAGCTCACAGCCACAATAAAAGCCTGGTTATTTTTAGTCCGAGTGAGTCGAAAGATTGGCTTTTAAGTGTTAAGAAATGCTTTTCAAACCAATAAGCATTTGTCTATTCATTTTGGGGATAATAAAGGTCTTAGACCAGGAAAAGATATCTTTTTTTAAAGGTTTTACAGGGCTACTATGAAATCCTTAGAGAAGGGATAAAGGAAGAAAGTACAATGCCTGCAAACAATAGAATGAACAAAATAACTCTTCCTCTTCTATATTCTCATGTGATTTTATAACACTTTGGGAACCAAGATAAATGAAGAGAGGCCATTAATTACAATTAATTGTAGAAATATAGGAATAATTTAATTACCTTGAACAGAACATTTAAGGTATTAAAGGATATTGAACTTTGAGAGAAACATATCCTCAAAGCATTCACCTTTTCTCATCTTTCTGTTACTTTTGTAGGGGGATGAGGGCAGGTCACCCCAAGATGGGCTACTTTGGCATGATTATTTTGAGTTGAAAGCAATTAAACCAGCAGATTTAGGAAAAGCTCTTTACCCACCCCCAGTGGCGCACAACTGCCTAAATTTACATTGTAAATGAGAGCCTGTACTAGGAAAGGCCCTGTTAACGGAGATTCCTTTTACCTATTTAACTTTACCTAAATTATTTGAATAACTGAGCACTGGTTTATTTTCCAAACATCACCTCTTTCCTTCCTGCTAATAATGGTCTTCCTTCCCTTTGTTTTCCCAGATTCCTACCCATCTCCTTAGCTCAGGATGTCACATAAGCCCCTTGTTGCCTGTCTTTGGAATTTCATGTTTGTATGGATTCTCCGTACTCCGTACTTTGTATGGATTCTCTGTTTAAAAATTTCTGGTTCCTGCTCACATATCTCTTGAGTAAAAGCCTAAGTTATACCCCTCCCCCCCGCTTAGCTTAGTCCCCCCCCCCCCCCCCCCACCCCCGACTTCCTTCTGGTTACACTGGATTTCTTGCTGTTCTTTAGTACATATCAGGCATATTTTGCCTAAGAGTCCTTTAATATTTATTGTTCCTTATATTCCTTTCTTATATATTGGCATGGCTCATACTCTTAGCTCTGACAATACTGCTCAAATAACAGCTTCTTCATGAGACAATCTGAATTGCTAATATCCCTCCCCATTACTGTTTGCTCTGCCATTTTCCTTTACCCTTTTTTTTTTCACAGCCTTTATCAACTGTCATATTATATAATCTACTCTCCTTGCTAGAATGTAATAAGCTCCATAAAGAGCTATGAGGGCAGGAATTTTTGTTGGCTTTACTTCCAATTGTGCCCCTAGCAAATAGTTGGTATTGGATAAATGTTTGTCATTGAATGAAGATGCCTTAGATATAGTTTGAAAGAAGTATGTAGGATACATTTTTTCTAATCATCTTAGCTCTATTGGGTTTTTCCTTACATGGCTTTAATATTCTTCTGAATTTACCCTCCTGCCTTTTTTATTTTTGATAGAACTGAGTATATGTGCCACTCTTCTCCCTCCAAGCTAATATCATTTCCAGTGAAAGTTGGAAATTGGGGGCAGTTGCAGTAGCATGTGAATTTCATTTGCAGTGTGTCTGGAGTGACTGCTGTGTGAGATCTTTTTGCAGATTTTTCTTAAAGAGGAGGAAGAGGAGAGCACAGTTAAGCTGTCTTTTAATATGGAAAAGTGATATCCTTTATCTTTAAATCAGGATTTGCATTTTAATTTAACGTTGAGACACTTCCGATTCAGATCTCCTAGAAAGTCTTTGGGTTATGATGTGGGCCAAAGAATTTTGAGCTTGTAACCCCTCATATTTTGAATCCTTTTGAGAAAGAGGTTTAAATTGATTTCTGACCATAGTTTTTGGTTCTCCAGCTCATGTCTGTAAATCCTTGACTCTCTCAGCTTTTGCCTAACAGAGTAACTCAAAACTACTATAATTGACAGATTATCACAGTGATTGATAGTCGTTTTTGATTTTACCTCTGAATGAAGAGCACTTGGATGATCCTTATAGTTCTAGTTTTGATTGGCAAGAGTGGTCTTTAGTTGAGATTTTCAAAAGGCTGAATTATGTAGTACTAAGTTCTAATTTCACAGTATTGCACAGAAAAATTTGTTAACTGTGCTAAATTGACTTCATGATGTAATATAAATAGAAATCTGCCAGATAATCCATTTTTAGAGAAACAACATTTCAGGTAACTTTTGCTAGTTCCATTAGCCATGTGCTTTACTTTTAAAATGAAAATAGGTATTTCTCAGTTAGTTTGTTATAATTTTATTTTTTTATTTTCCTTAGGATATCAGCTGCAATGAGATTCAGGTCCTTCCCCAACAAATGGGGAAATTACATTCACTTAGAGAGCTAAATATAAGAAGAAATAATCTTCATGTGTTGCCAGATGGTAAGATGCTCATTATTTTTACTGAAATGAATAAGAGAGTAACTGTGTCAAATTTAATTTAATTATATTTCATTTCTGAACAGAATTAGGAGATCTTCCCTTAGTCAAGCTGGATTTCTCTTGTAATAAAGTGACCGAAATCCCAGTTTGTTACAGGAAGCTGCATCATTTACAAGTAATGATTTTGGATAACAATCCATTGCAAGTACCACCAGCGCAGGTTTGTAAGAAAAAAAATACTTGTTTCTTCTCCTTTTATTCATAATTATGCATCAAATTGATAAATCAAAAAGCATCAGAATTAGAAGTGAGTTTATTGTTGAGGCTTTATTGTCTAAGGGAGATTTTCTGAGAAGTGACTCTTGCACTTTGGTAGGAGTTTTAGCTTAGCTTCTAGAGAAGAGGGTTTTGAAAACCCAGATCTGGGGCGCCTGGGTTGTTCAGTGGTTTAAAGCCTCTGGGATCAAGCCCTGCATTGGGCTTTCTGCTCAGCAGGGAGCCTGCTTCCTCCTCTCTCTCTGCCTCCCTCTCTGCCTACTTGTGATCTCTGTCAAATAAATAAATAAAATCTTTAAAAAAAAAAAGTTAAAAAAAAAAAGAAAGAAAACCCAGATGCATAATTCTGTCAGTGTTCTTTTAAAAACAGACTGTGTAGTCTCTCTATCTCTGCCCAACTCAGGTATATGTCTATTTGATATTTGTTATACATTTGATTGTAACACATACTTAGCATTCATCGATGGAATCCTAACAGAAAGAAGATATGAGTGGAAAAGTATTAATTCAGCCTTTGAGTTGGAGGATTAAATCCACGTGAAGTCTACTGAAATGATAGTAGAAGAATATACTAAGCTACAAACCCATAAGGCCAAGGAATGAGAGAGAAGAGGGCTGCAGGGGAGAGATGGCAACAGAATTTTGGAAAATGGAAGACAGATGAAATAGCAGAAATTAGGGTCTTACACTCCCACAAGAGAATCTGGCCAAGGAAGCACATGACAGTGAAATGCCAACCCCTTCTCTACTTCCAAGCTATGTTCCCTCAGTCAGGGTTTGCATCCAGAAGAAGGGTTGCCTTTTTCTTTCTACAAAGGTACATTCCACTCATTCCAAAGGAGTTGCTTTTTCTAATTCAAATAAAGGCTGGCTGGGGTGCTGGTAGTAGCTGGCTGAGCAGGACAAGGAAAACTGAAGCTTGGATCTGCTGTGGGAGAAGGCAAGAAGAAGTTTGATTTACTTGTTCAACCTGGGAATGGCTTGCATGTTGGAGGAAAACATATAACTGAATAGAAAGAAGAAAGACTGAAAATATGAAGGTCTGTAGAATGTCCAAGGCAGTGCTATCCAGCAGAACTTCCTGAATTATAGGAAATTCTATAATTTGTGCTGTCTGATACCATTGGTTCTTGCCACGTGGCTTTTGAGTTCTTGAAATATGGCTTATGCGACTAAGGAACCAAAATTTAAATGTAATCTTATTTTGATTAATTTAAAATTAAGTAGCTTTGTGGCACCTGAGTGGCTCAGTGGGTTAAGCCTCTGACTTCGGTTCAGGTCATGATCTCAGGGTCCTAGGATTGAGCCCTGCATCGGGCTCTCTGCTCAGCAGGGATCCTGTTTCCCCCTCTCACTCTGCCTGACTCTCTGCCTACTTGTGATCTCTCTCTGTCAAATAAATAAATAAAATCTTTAAAAAATAAAATAAAATAAAATAAAGTAGGTTCACATGACTAGTGGCTACCATATTGGACACGACAAGTCTAAGATTTACACCCTCAGATTGTTGCCCTTAGCTCTGCAGTGACGTAACTAGCCCTCACTTGCCTTAGCAGAAGCCTGGGTTTATTTGGTAGTAGAATAGTCAGGTAGAGTCTCTCAGATTCTCTCCCTTGGCTCAGCAGCCAAAGGACTATTGTTTCTTGCCTCAGCAGATTATTTTATTGGTCATAATACGGTAAATACTACATTTTGATTTAATGAGAAACTGTGACATAGTTAAAATAATAGCAAAGATACATCTAGTGCTTACTGTGTTTCAGGTGCCATTGAAATGCTTTACATGCATTAATTTAATTCTAACAGTAACCCTATAAAAGGTACTATCATTAGTCCTCATTTTATTTATTTATTTATTTATTTATTTAAAAAGATTTTATTTATTTATTTGACAGAGATCACAAGTAGGCAGAGAGGCAGGCAGAGAGAGAGAGAAAGAGAGAGAAGGAAGCAGGCTCCCCGCTGAGCAGAGCACCTGATGCGGGGCTCCATCCCAGGACCCTGAGATCATGACCTGAGCCAAAGGCAGAGGCTTAACCCACTGAGCCACCCAGGCACCCCATTCCTCATTTTATATATGAGGAAACAGGCATCAAAGTTAAGGGACTTATTTAGTGCCACATAGCTAGCATGTGGTACGGCTGGTTGCAAACCAAGGCAGTCTGATTCAAGTCCACGCTCTAACAACTATGCTATGCTTCTGAAGGAGGAAGCGAGTTGATAGGGATTGAAAATGGGATGATGGTATGGTGTTGATGATACATGATTAGTGGTGGTAGTGGTAATGTAAGAAATCTAAGTCTTCATTTTCCTTAGACCTTAATAAATAAGATCCATAACTAAATTAAACAGTAGAACCATGTTACTGGTACATATAAAGGTAAGTATCAGGAAACCAACTAAAAGTTGATGTGTGGGGACTAGGTCTTGGAGATTGAAAGGGGTGGATTAATTTTTTGTTACCAATTTTAGAATTCTCTTTGAGTTTAAAACTGCATACATGAATTACTACAATAAGAAATTTATGAAAGGGGGCACCTGAGTGGCTCAGTCAGTTAAGAATGTGACTTCAGCTCAGGTCATATCTCAGGGTCCTGAGATTGAGCCGTGCATAGGGTTCCCTGCTCAGTTAGGAGTCTGCTTGTCCCTCTCCCCCTCCCTCTGCTTTTGCGCGTGCCCGCGTGCACACTCTCTCTCTCTCTCAAATAAATTTTTAAAAAATTTACAAAAGAAATGAATTCACCAGTATTTAATTTGACAATGAACGATGATTATTTTTTGGTTTATACAGATAATGGGATATATTTTAATTCATAATATTTTTATATTCTAATAGCTCAGAAGTTTTTCCTTTTAAATGAAATTTTTCAGTGGTCAGGTCAGATTTGGTATCTATTATAATTATCTAAGAAACATTCTTCCTTTATACCAGGAATGATAATTACCTTTAAATTTACTTTTCTTAAGACTGTTTTGTTTCTTACTGTTTTCTTTTCTTTTTTTTTTAAAGATTTTTTTTTATTTGACAGAGAGATGTAGCGAGAGAGGGAACACAAGCAGGGGGAGTGGGAGAAGGAGAAGCAGGCCTCCCGCTGAGCAGGGAGCCCAATGCGGGGCTCCATCCCAGGACCCTGGGATCATGACCCAAGCCGAAGGCAGACATCTAATGACTGAGCCACCCAGGCGCCCCTCTTACTGTTTTCTTTGTTGATTATTTTTGCATATATATACAGGTTATGTAGGCCCATAAAACTAAACATTTTTGATTGTAGTTTTCTTTTTTTTTTTAAGATTTTATTTATTTGAAAGAGAGAGAGTTAGAGAGGGAGCACAAGCATGGGGAGTGAGAGAGGGAGAAGCAGGCTTTCTGAGTGGGGAGCCTGATGTGGGGCTTGATCCTAGGGCCCTAGTATCATGACCAGAGCCAAAGGCAGATGCTTAACAGCTGAGTCACCCAGGTGCCCCATCTTCCAGTGTTTAGACCAAACAACTTAGTGGTTCTGAAAGATTACTTTTTTTTTTTAAGATTTTTTTTTTAATTTACTTCAGAGAGAGCATGAGAGAGAGCAAGGGGCAGGGGGAGGGGCAGAGGGAGATGGAGAAGCAGACTCCCCACTGAGCAGGGAGCCTGAGGATGCCAAAGATGCCAAAGATGCCAAGGATTCCTGGCTCTAGGCTCTATCCACGACACGATGATCCAGGACCCGCCGTCACAGCACCAGCTGAAGGCGGATGCTTAACTGACTGAGCCACCCCGGTCCCCCTGATAAGACTACTTTAAGGAATTACACGTTTTTTTTTTTTTTTTCTTGTTCTCATCAGTACAATGAATATATTTCTTCTCACTTTTTTCTAATAAAAGCTACTTTTATGAGTTATAGATTTTATATTATTTGGTGGTTTGTATATTGTACTTTTAACAAGAAAACTTTAGTGATACACAGAAAAATTAGCTTATTTTTTTCTGGTAAGAATAGAAACAGTGAAAGAATTTTAGTTGGTATCATTGTCAAATGTTTTCATTAAGTATCAGCCGTAGAAATTATTCAAATATGTGAAGTGTCTATTATGATTGTGATGTCTCAGCATAATTTCAGGTTATTAAAATATATAAATAAGTTGGTAGGTAAAACTTATATTTGGACCTATATAATTAAATCTACTTTCTCAATTATTTATTGACAGATATGTTTAAAGGGTAAAGTTCACATATTTAAATACTTAAATATCCAAGCATGTTGCAGAATGGATAAGAAACCAGATTCTCTGGACCTTCCATCATTAAGTAAAAGAATGCCCTCCCAGCCTCTCACAGACAGGTAATGTAATATTCTTACAATCTCTTTTCATGGTTAGTGTCTTCTCTGTATGTAAAAGATATTTATTAACCTTGAGTGCACTGAATATATTTAGGTTCATTGGCCCAGTGTTAAAATCAATAATTGACTGATGTGAACTCTCACCATCATAGAATGAACCTCTGTGATACTAGAATAAATTTGGGATTTTCTCAAAATATTAATTAGTACTAATATTTTAGTAGGAAAATGTAAATGTTTGACATTATAGTACAGAGACACTAATTTTTCAGGACTCGACAACTGTTAATTTACTACTATTATCACTTTATTGTACCAACCAGTATTGTAATAACTAGCAGAATTTGACTTTGAACTGCGGTTAGTGGAAGAGCAAGACATTTTGGGGTACCTTTCTTCTTCATATTCTTTATTCTTTATGTCTAGATCAAAGGTGATTTATCATTGATATTCTGTATGATATGAAAATTTCCTCCTGAGATTTTGAAATGGTAGATTTGATTATCTGTTTTTAATTATCTTTTGGGGATGTAGGTTGGTCTGAAAGATTTCGTGGAAACATAATTCTGTCCATTAGTAAGGGAAATAATTTGGAATGGAGTGAGACTACAGAAAGGAAGACTGTACTCTTCCCTAAAATGTTTAAATACTTGTTATTTTATTTGTGCCAAAATTTAGACTAATTAGAATGGCAGTATTTTAAGTACTATTCTTGATTTCCCGAATAGGACATTTTCTTGAATGTTTCTGTTGCCTAAGTAGAATTAAATATCTTAACATTATATTTAATTCCTGAAGATTAATTTGTTTAATATTATGAATATAATAGATCAAACAATTCTACAAAAACTAGACTTTATTCACAGTCTAATCTATTAGTTTGCTTTATATTTATTTAAAGATGAATTTACTTTAGTAATGGCATTCATTGTACTAGTCATTTATTTATTTTACAAATAACAGTTGGGAAAAAAAAACAGTATCAGACGATTGCCTACTGGTAGGTTCAGGGTATGTTTTGTTAAATGATATACACCTTGATGTTGGCCCTCATGGAGTCCACAGTATAGTGGAGGAGTCAGTCAGCAAAGCAAATAAATCAAATAGTTATACACACTTAAATTTCAAATTGTGTCAAGTGCTGTGAAGGAAAGGAACATATTTCAGGAGGGTGGTCAGGGAATGTTGCTTTGGGAAGGTGAGGTTTTAAGTCAAGACCTGAAAGGAGAAAAGCTAGCTGTGTAAAGATGAAGGAGAAGAGCATTTCAGGCAAAAGAATGACATGTGCTAAGGCCTTAAGTTAGGAAGAAACTTGGTGTGTTAAAGAAACGGAAAGGCCAGTATGATTGGAGCAGAATGGCTGAAGGGTACGGATATACAAGTTGATTTTGGAGAAATAGTCAGGGCTCAAGTCATGTGGGTGCTCTGGAACTGTGGTAAGGAGTTTGAATTTTACTTGTAGTACAACAATAAGTCGGTGGACAGTTATAGGCAGGGGAATGATCCGATTTATGTTTTTAAAAGGAGGTATTTTGGCTCTTGTAAGGAGAATAGATTGGAAATAAACAAAAGCAGAAGCACAGGGACTAGTTGAGTTTTGAAGTACTTCCAAGAGATCAAGGGGTCTTAAACAGGGTGACTGTAGTAGTGATGAAAAGGAGTGGACAGGACTGAGACATATTTTGGAGATAGTCTCTAGCAATGATATCCAATAGAAATGTAATATAAGCTACATATGTAGTTTTGCATTTTCTTATAATCCATTAAAAAAAGTAAAAATGAAACAGATGACATTAATTTTAATAGTATGTTATTTAGGGATGCCTGGGTGGCTCAGTCAGTTAAGCATTTGCTTTCAGGTCATTTCATGAATCCAAGGTCCTGGGATTGAGTCCCACATCCCGCATTGGGCTCCGTGCTTAGGGGGAGCCTGCTTCTCCTTCTCTCTCTGCCTGCTGCTCTCCCTGCTTGCGCTCCCTCTCTGACAAATAAATAAATAAGATCCTTAAAAAAGTAATGTTATTTAACCCAGTATATCCAAAATATCATTACAACTTACATTTCTTATAAAATGTTAGTAAGGTACTTCATGTTCTTTTTCTATTACATCATTTAAATCTGGTGTGTATTTTTCGTTTATAGCACATTTCAATTTAGACTAGCCACATTTCAAGTGCTCAGTAACTATATATGTTGGCTAGTGGCTACTATATAGAATAGTACAGGATAATAGAGCCTTCCATACCTTGACTATTTTGTAAATTCTTATTCTACATAGGTAAGCATTATAGTAGTTAAGCATATCAACTTTGGAGTTAGACATAAATGCCCGTGAAGTCCTTCTCCAGCTCTTGGTAACTTTATGTCCTCGTGTCATAATGTCTTTAGTCCTTAGTTTTCTTATGTGTAAAAGGGAAAATAATCATATGGATGCTGCCAGGATTAAATTAAATAATGTATATAGAGTACTTAACACAATGCCTTACCAAAACAATTCCTCAACAAATAGCTTATTACTATCATTGTCAACTATTACAAATACACATATATTTTAGTATAGTACATGGATATATTATTGTGCAGTGGCGTCAGATGGATTTTGCTTCTAATCGTGGTTTAACCTCTTAAATCCATTGTAGACTGTGTAAATTATTTAATCTTTTTTTTAAAATTATTTAATCTTTCTGAGCCTGTTTATTTAAAGTGTTAACAATACCCACTTCATAAGCTTGTTGTGAGAATTAAATGTGTGTGTGGCAACTAGTTCAAGAAATGATATTCAGTAAATGTTACATTTTTTCAGGGCACTTGGGTGGCTCAGTCGGTTGAGCATCTGCCTTTGGCTCAGGGTCATGATCACAGAGTCCTGGGATGAGCCCTGCATTGGGCTCCCTGATCAGCAGGAAGCCTGCTTCTCCATTTCCCGCTCCCCCACTTTTCTCCCCATAAAGTTAAGCTTCATTATCCTCACTCGTAAAAAGAAATAATGCATAAATTGTAGAGTGTAAGGATTATAAGTAAGATATGATGTGTACCTGGCACATTAGCTAATACAGTGTAGACACTCAATAAATGCTAGCAAGTATTGCCTCTCTTTATCCTTCAAGACTAAGCTCAAATGCCACATTCTTGGGTGAGGCCTTTCCTAAACTTAGCAAGAATTTATTCTCTTTTCTCATAGTACTTTATATTTGCCTTTGTCTTAGTCTTCAAAATATATATACACACTTCCTCTCTGGGCTGAGAGCCCTTTGAGGTCAAACATTTTTTAATTCATCTCATTTCATTTCAAGCATTCAGCATAGTGCCTGACACTTACTTGGTAGTTGCTTACCTGAGTTTATCGATATACTCCTGGAATGTGTGCATATCAGTATTTGGGGAAGAAATATAGCATAGTGATTAAGATCAGGGACTTTAGTGTTAGATTCTTGGGATCAAATTTAAAAAGCCATTCGTAAATTGCGGGTCATTGGGTAACTTGTTCAATCCGTCCTGGCCTGTTTCTTCACCTGCAAAAAGAAAACACCAACCTGCTAGAATTTAAACAAGGCATATATGAGGTATCACCTTTAAAGCACTTAGCCTAATTCCTGGCACATAAAAAATGGTCTGTATAGAGTGTATGCAAGTTTACATGTATGTAAATTGCAAAGTAAAGTGAAAAATACTTTGCAGCCTGGGTGGCGTACTGTTGTGTAATTCGGAAATTTGCAAGGATAGCTCTATCCTCATACCAAAAGAATTGTTCATTCAATTCTTTGCTGACTTTCTTTTTCTCTCTCTTTTTTTTTTTTTTGCATTTTCCTCTTAATTTTCAGATAGGCATTATTTATAAAGCTAAAGCTTATTTTTAGAGCTAATGAAGAAACTATGAATTGTAGTTAAAAAATATTTCAACGTTCTGTGGTGAAATGTGTAAAACCAGAAAAATAGAAAGCTCTTTCATTAAGGTTATTTTCTAGCAGGACTCTGTTTTTCGGATTCTCTCAGGAGAAGTAATAGTTATTCTTAACAGTCGACACTTTACGGATTTTATTTATTTATTTTTTTAGAGAGAAAGGGCATGTTCATGCTGGTTGGGGGAAGGAGCAGAGGTGGAGGGAGAGAGAGGGGGAAAGAATCTCAAGCAGACTCCCTGCTGAGCGTGGAACCTGATGTAGGGCTGGATCCCACAAGCCCGAGATCCTGACCTGAGCTAAAACCAAGAGTCAGACACTTAACAGACACTATGCTGACTGAGACACCCATATGCCCCAACAATTGACACTTTACAACAGAGCACATGCAGGGAAAATATTACACGAGGTATATAAGTAAAATATTTTATAGGAAGATTTCTGATATTTTCCCTTAAGGATCTTAGACATCAAGAGAGTATATTCTATATTACCTAGGGAAATTTTAGGTCAAGTCTGTATTTATTTAAGAAGAAAACCCTAATTGCCCTTAGAATTTCTGTTTCCATAGTATGGAGGACTTTTATCCAAATAAAAATCATGGCCCTGACTCTGGAATTGGAAGTGATAATGGAGAGAAACGATTATCTACAACGGAAGTGAGTCTTTTCTATTGCTGATCTATTTTATTTTAAAAATTTGTTAGAGTTTTGAAATATGTAGACACTTGTACGTACTTGATTTACTTTGCTTAAGAAATATCATTATTACATTTTATGACTTCAGATGAAAAAAGGACATGTACATTTTTAGAAGCAGAGCATTATTATTACCATAATATTTTTTGGTTTGAGAACTGGAGATGTAAAGCAGATATTCTATTATGTGGAATTAAGACAACTTAATCCTCTTCTATGTTTAAAATGCCTCATTTGTACTTTGTGCTTATTCCTTTCAGCCATCAGATGATGACACAATAAGCCTTCACTCTCAAGTCTCAGAGTCAAATAGAGAGCAGACGTCAAGAAATGACAGTCACTCAATAGGAAGTAAACCTGATTCTCAGAAAGGTAATTCATATGGTACCTGCTAATTTTATTTCATGTATATTGCTCTTATTAAAAATGCATTTTGAAAAATTTTAGAATCTTCAGCCAGTTCTTTTATTGAAAAAATAGACTATTATTCTAAACAATACAGTATGAAAGTACACTGTTTACTATTTATATTTTCTAACAAATATTAATCTGTAATTAGACCAAGAGGTGTATGATTTTATTGACCCCAACACAGAAGATGTAGCAGTTCCTGAACAAGGAGATGCACATATTGGATCATATGTCTCTTTCCTTAAGGTAAAGAAAATTTTGAACAAATACTAATAGCATACTTTCCTTGATCTTGTGAAAGTATACCACATAGATTTAAAATTATAACTTTCTTTTATATAAGGGGAAAGAAAAGGGTCCTGAGAAATCTCAGAAAAATGAAGAATTGGGAGATGAAAAAAGGTAAGCATATAGGAATTCTCAAATTGAAATGTTACTTATACATGAAATATTTGTTAGGTATTCCTACTTGAGAGTACTTTGGAAAAATGTAATTTTTGGTTCATTTACCTGTTCAGATAGTTAATTTATAACTACTTCATTTGTCTGCATTCCTCAATTAAACTGAAAATTATAGTAAGCAATTAAGCTGAGTGTAGTATATACATTTCCCCTGCCTCCCAGAAGTGTAATTCTCCTATTATTATTACCGAGGAGGACTGTATTTTCACATACATTGCTTCATTTGAGCTCTTTAGCAACTCTTTAAAATAGGTGATTTTTTTTTTTTTTTTTTTTTTTTTGCATCATTTAGTCAATAAGGAAACAGACCTGCAGTTTCAAGTGTCTGGCGCTCAGGTCTTCCAACTCTTGGTCTAATAAACTTTCCATTTCATCAGGCTGGTTATAGTAATTTTATGGGTATTTATCTCTGTATTTTATTAAAATCATTCCACTTTGGATCTTTTCTGTATCATTTATCTTATGAAATGCTGGAATATGACTTGCCATATTTAGTCACTCCTTAAAGTTGCTTCGTAGCTGTAGGAAGGAAAGAAGGATCATTTGTTGAATACCTGCCATGTACCAGGATCTGTGCTATGTGCTTTCCCATGTTTCTTATTTATTTTTATTAAAAAAAATTTTTTTTTACAGTTTAAAAAAATTTTTTAGCAGTCTGTACACCCAATATGGGGCTGGAACTCATGACCCTGAGATCAAGAGTAGCATGCTTTTCCAACTGAGCCAGCCAGATGCCCCTAAGATTTTTTTTTTTTAAGTTCTATTTATTTAATTTCTCTACCCAACATGGGGCTCGACCTCATGACCCCACGATCAAGAGTCATATGCTCTTCCAACTGAGCCAGCCGGATGCCCTTCATGTTTCTTATTTAATCTTTACTAAATCCTACAGGGTTGATATTGTTTCTATTTTTACAGATAAGGAAGGGGGAAGCTTGGAGCCTCTAAAGTTTCTTGCCTAGAACCACTTAGATAGTGTCCACTAGAACCTAGGGTGTGAATGTAACTCTCTCTGATCCCTAAGCTTTTCTCTTTTCTCTACATTGTGCTTCCTCCAAGTGACCTCACTGGTAACTTTTTAATCAGTTATGAATCAGTCATCTCTGTACCCCATAAGGTGGTACATTGCTTTGTCTTGTACTCTTTATATTTCATTTTTCTCTTACTTTCTCATCTTACCTCATGAAGACAGTTGTATTAACTTGAGTGTCACAGTGGCATATAAGATATGGTCAAGATACAAAGTCTTAGGATTTGATACTTTGTTTTAAGTGAAATACTTTTGGGATAAAATTACTAGAGTTTAGAGAACAACTTACTTAAAAATTCCTTTGTTCTTTATGAATGATTAAAAATTATGTATTTTAATGAGCATTTTCCTGCAAATTTGCCAGTCTTACTTGTACCTGTTTTGCATTTCTTCTACTCAAACATTTTACATGGAGAATTTTAACATTATGATGAATAAACTGATAAAAGTAGGGTGGTTTAGTAAAATTTTCATAGCATTTGATATTTATAAAGACAGGCATATTAGAGCTTTGCAGTTCTTATTACACTCAAGACTGGGGAGTATGCATTGTTAAATTATAAGAAATTACAAAATGGTAATACAGTTTACTTTGTTAGCCATTAATTATATTAATATCACCAGTATGGTACATTTCCTATTGAATAGAAGTTAGATATGTTTTCATATTCCTTAAATATTCCTTATTCCTTATTTTAATGTTTTAAATACAAGGACATTAGGATTTTAGCTTTTTACATGACATTAGAAATGAAAAAGTGGTTTCTGTTTCTGGAAGCTGGCATAAAATATCGTCTGCCTTACATTTTGGATAACCATGTTTGTGTCACCTTTCAGACTTGGGAAAGAACAGTTACTTGCAGAGGAAGAGGATGATGATTTGAAGGAAGTAACTGATTTGAGAAAAATAGCCGCTCAGTTATTGCAGCAAGAGCAGAAGAACAGGTATTTTTTCAGTAATGAGATTTAAATAGGCAGACTTTATAATCATTAAGTGATTATTCAAAGACTATCAAATGAAGTTTCCAGTAAACAATAGGACCATCTTAAGATCTATGTCTAGGGACTAACTACTAAAAGACAATAAGGAATAATTAGGCGAGAAGTGTAAAGTTAATGTACACAATTGACATATACTTTATATTCACAGTCATTTTATTTAATTATTGTGTAGGTATCTCTTTTATTCTTGTGTGCTAAATAATAATAACTGATTTATTTGTTGATAATCCTGTTAGCTCACAATAACAGATACATTATAAGTGTTACCCCCTAAGTACATGTCATGTGTATGTAGTGCACTTTTTATCAGATTCCAGATTACTTGGGATATGTGTAAACTCCTTAAAATTGAATGGAATTTTATAATGGTTGATTAAATCAGCATGATGATTTGGAGGTCACAGGTTCACTTTGGTGTGTTCCTTGGTCAATGACGATTTTTCCCTTTGGCTAGGCTTTCCTTACATGCCATTGGCAATAAGGAAGATGTATGAATGACGATAGAATCGGTGCAAGTTCATTTTTAATACAGAAGTTCTCTGTGCTGCTGAGGGTCAGCTATTAGGCCATCTTCACGTACTGAGAGTACTATATTTATAGTTCTGAAATAATAAAGGAGATTTGAGCGTTTTTTTTTTGTTTTGAGAAAATTAGAAGAATAATTTTGTTAAATTTATCATGGGTAGCTAATAAGTACTTTACTTCTCTTAACCAAAACAATAAATGTTTGTGGGTCACATGACCATGTTTTGGAACGTTAAAAATTTAAGTACACTGGCATTTGCTTTTAGATATGCTTTGAAAAATAATTACTGTTGAAACTTATCAAATTGCAAATGTCTGTTTTTAAGGGCCACTATATTTTTTAATAATTACTGATTATTCTGTTTTGTGCAACTACTACATTTATAGAATTAAATCCAACTAGAAAATGTCACTCTTCTTTATTCTTTCTATATCTAATGTATCCTCATTCTCAGTTCACGTTTTTCTTCTACCATAACTTTCTGTCACCCTTTTCTCTGAAATTCATTTTCTGATCTTTTCCTATCATTCATTTCTAATGGGCCTTTTTTTATATTGGCTACTTGTGAGGTTATGTATGTTTTTCTCCCTCCAGTATAATCAAAGTATTGGTTGTCCCCATGGTTTAAGAGGTTTATGAAGCAAGCCACCACCTGCTCTATGTGGCTTAAAAAATAGTTAAGTTTCTGTCTCTTCTACCCAATAGTTGAAATGATTGTATTTATCATTATGAGCAGAGAATACTGATTTTAAAAGAACCCACAGCAATATTTATTTCTCCGATTACGTTAAAAATAGTATTGGAGGGCATAATTTTAGATTTTAACAATGTCATATATATCATTTCTATATTTTTCAGTTTTCTACTATATTTCTTGTCTTCCTATAACTTGAATTATTCTTTTTGGTTTAGAAACAATATCAAGTGATGTTTTGTAGGTTTTATTGTGATAGTTTTGTAATCTGTAAAAAATAACATCTAGCACTGTGCCTTGTACATGGTAGGTACTCAGTAGTACTGTTATTAGTCAATTGATTGCTTGAAGATGAGACTAACAATTTAAAGCTAAGAGGAACCATTAATTTAGTTATGTTCATTCTGAATAACTTGTTATTTTTTTAGGTGTATGCAAAAGTAATTTCTCTATATCTGCTCTTTCTCTTCATCAGCCATTTTAAACGTTAGCACACATGGATATAGATCTTTTGATTCAGTGACACTAATGTAATAATTATGTCTTATTTTGGAAGGCCTTAAAATATTTATGAGATCTGGTCATAATGTAAAGAGCACATTTTACTTTTAAAAAACCTGTAATTTATAGACAATTTAAATTAGATCCTTGGCCAGTCCTCTTCTGTTAATGGCTGAACTTAAACTGATCTCAGAAGTTTTGTATGCTGATTTTCTCCACTAAATATTTTCTTCTCTTCTTCTAAAATATGTTGCTGTTGCTCATATCTCTTAGATGCAGATAATTAAAATTTTTGTTTGCTATTACAGTACTTGATTTGAGTGAGTCCAAAAAAATCAAAAGTAATCTTCTATAAAGATATATCCATCCCTTAGAGGATTTGATGTTAATTGTACCTTCTCTGGTTATAGATTTTCTCTTTCACACCATATTGTGCTTTTGATTCCAATTTTATTAATGAAAAATCTGAAATGCTATTTAAAATTACAAGTCAGGGATGCTTGTGTGGCTCAGTCGGCTAAGTGCACATCTCTTGATTTTGGCTCAGGTCGTGATCTCAGGGTCGTGAGATCAAGCCCTGCATCAGCCTCCATGCTCAGAGTGGAGTCTGCTTGAAATTCTTTCTCCCTCTCCCTTTGCCCTGCCCCCTGTTTATATGGGTTTTTCTCTCTCTAAGTAATAAATCAATAAAATCTTAAAACAAAATAAGATTAAATTCTAAATCAGGAGTTATAACATTTCACTTAAGGTTTTAAAGTCATTATAATGTTTTTGTTTATTGTCTTGATTTAAAAGGATTTATGTGGAATAAAATTACCCTCGCATATCAGAAAGTACCACCTAGAACTCCTCCTCTGACTCTATGCTCCTTAACTATTCTTTAGCTACTAGTTGAAGGTAAATGTAGTGTTAGCTATCAGCTGAAAGAAGCCATGCATGTACTCCCAAATTAAAGGCAATTAAAAAACTGCTTAGAATGAAATCAGTGATGGGGCGCCTGGGTGGCTCAGTGGGTTAAGCCTCTGCCTTTGGCTCAGGTCATGATCCCAGGGTCCTGGGATCGAGCTCCACATTGGGCTCTCTGCTCAGTGGGGAGCTTGCTTCCCCCTCTCTCTCTCTGCCTGCCTCTCTGCCTACTTGTGATCTCTGTCAAATAAACAAATAAAATCTTAAAAAAAAAAAGAATGAAATCAGTGATCATTTTCTTTCTTTTTTTTTTTAACATTTTATTTATTTGACAGAGATCACAAGTAGGAGAGGTGTAGGCAGAGAGAGAGAGAGGAGGAAGCAGGCTCCCTACCGAAGTAGAGAGCCCGATGCGGGGCTCCGTCCCAGGACCCCGGGATCATGACCCGAGCTGAAAGCAGAGGCTTTAACCCACTGAGCCACCCAGCACCCCCAATGATAATTTTCTTAAAGAAACTTTGCCAATTGTTTAGTTCATACTATTCTTAAAGGTGTCTTTTATTCTTTAAGCAAATTTGTACTAGTACTTGGAGGATAAAACTACCCTAGGAAAATAACAAGAGGGTATTGCACAGAATAATAGTGAAAAAGGGTGGGAAAGGAGATGAAATAAGCTATCAAGTAGATAACTCACAAGTGTTCGAAGTCTGAAGGCCGGTTTTTAGAAGACTGCTCCCTCTTTGAGATGCATAGATTAAGCTACTTTGTTTTGACAGTTTATTGTTGAATATTTAGAAGCTAATCTTTACCCCCTTGTTAAAGTACTGGATTATTTCTACTTGTATTTGGGTGTATTGAAGTCCCTCTGAATCAGTGAAGCTCCCTATATTAAAAATAGCTATTCTGCAAGTTTTTAATCTTCACTGTAATTTGGGAAATTAAAAAAAAAACTATCATCTTAAAAAATTATCTTAACTGTTTTATTCTAAATTATTTAGCTAATTTTTCAAATGTCCACCAACACTCTTATCTAATTATTAGAGAAATAGCTACTGTTCTTTTTTTTTTTAAAGATTTTATTTATTTATTTGACAAACAGAGATCACAAGTAGGCAGAGAGAGAGGAGAGAAGAGGAAGCAGGCTCCCTACTGAGCAGAAAATCTGATGGGATCATGTCTTGAGCAGAGGCTTTAACCCACTGAGCCACCCAGGCACCCCTTCTTTTTTTTTTTTTTAAGAATTTATTTATTTTGGGGGGAGGGGCAGAGGGAGAGGAAGGGAGAGAGTCTCAAGCAGGCTCTGCACTGAGCATGGAGCCCAACTTGGGGCTTTATCTCATGGCCCTGAGATCAAGACCTGATCTGAAATCAAGAGTTGGACACTTAACTGACTGAGCCACCCAGGTGCCCCCTGTTCATTTTCTTTCTTTCTTTCTTTTATTTTAAGATTTTATTTATTTATTTGACAGAGATAGACAGCAAGAGAGGGAACACAAGCAGGGGGAGCAGGAGAGGGAGAAGCAGGCTTCCTGCTGATCAGAGAGCCCGATGTGGGCCTCTATCCCAGGACCCTGGGATCATGACCTGAGCTAAAGGCAGCTGCTTAACGACTGAGCCACCCAGGCACCCCCCCACCATTAATTTTCTTATACAGATATTCTTATGTGGCTGAATAAGTTGATGTTTATCTGGCTTCTTAAAATTTGTGTGGTTATCATCATAAAGAGAGGATTACAATATCTATGGGCTTTTGCAATGAATAACTTCAGTTGACTGGTTCCCATTGCATTTTCATTCCTGCTAACTTGTATAGTATTTTCTATTATGTCTTTCTTTTTAATAATGATTTTATTTGCTGTTAAGTGTGTCCTTAGAGTTTTCACTTATTGTGGAAAGATGTACTTCTTAGTACTCTGTAATATGGCTAAATAAAAAAGTAATTCTGAAAAGTTATATTGAAGTATAATTAAGGATCATGAAAAGGAAAATCACATTTTGAGAAGTTTATTATTTTGGTTTAGAATGATAGGAATTATATACATACCCTATTTCATGTGATTTTTTTTTTCTTACCATATATATGAATGTTTCAGTTTGAGGGGCATCATGTTAACCTCTAGCTTGTTATAACTAATTAGGTCGTTCTCTCAACCCTTAAAATCTATCCATTCTTTCTTTTCTGCTTGCTTTACTAATGGCTTCCCTGTCCTCTCCCAAAACATCTTACTTCTCCCATCTTTTGATTTGGTTGATGTACGGGAAATGTGAATACAGATGGAGGCCTTTGTGTTATAGAGCATCATTCAGTGAAAAATTCTTCCAGAGGACCAGAAGCGCAGGACATGCATCAAGGTATCTAGAGTTTATGGAAGCCTTAAGTATTAAGGGGCCAGGTTGGTGCAGCTTAATTTTATAGTCATTTACTTAAAATACAGTACAAGTAACGGGGTTAGGGAAATGTGTTAATAATCTAGAATAGATATTTAGATAATGTAGGTGTTTATTTTGACTTTGAGTATCACGAATAAAACATTAAATATCCATGTACAAACAAATGTTTACATAGGGGAATTCTCAAGTGTATAAAATACATTTTATAGGTAAATGGATCCCAACTTTGTTTTTCTGCTCCAATATGATTTATACACATCAGTAATCACAATGCTAATAAGTGTTGCTTGAGGAGAATTTAGAATTTACCATACTGAGGGCATTGTAGTTTGATCCCTCACCTCCCCCTGTCAATAATTCTGACATCCACCCTTCAGGACAGTTCTTACTATTACATCTCCTTTTTAAAAACCACTCTTTAAGTATGTATTTCTTCCTAATAGTCCTAGATATTTTTTTACCTTAGTTCTTTTGCATTTCGGGATTAAGTGCAATTTTAATATATGTTTATAGTAAGAAGAATAAAGGTGTTGTCAATCCAAAATTGTTGGTACAAAGCTACACTGCTTTGCCTGTGATACTTGCCCTTGGCTCCTCACTGTGATTTCCTCCTAGGGAGGCTTTAATCCATCCAAACTAGTGAAGAAACCGGGCTAATGGAAATTGGTTTCTTTAGGTTAACCATCTTTCTGAAATTACGAACTTTAGTTTACAATATCTTTTAGTAGTAAATATGTAGTTTTAATTTTAAATTATTTTCTCCTCTGTATTTTGATAGTTGACATCTAAAGTTTTTTGAATAAGACATGTTTTATTCCTTATAAGACTAAACTTTAAAATTGAGAAGTTATATTTCAATCTAGAGTAAATAAATATTAAGAACTCTTAAATATTTTAATGAGTTATGCGAAAGAAAGTTGACTTTCAGATTAATACTTAGAATTCTATAAAAATATGGACAAGAGTTCTCTCATGATGGTTTATCATTCTTTTTCTTTTTGTTTTCTCCAAATAGCATTTCATTTGGGTATTAAAAGTTTGATAAACTTTTTAAAAAACTGAACTTTAACATGGCTTTACGTTTAGAAGGCAGACTTGTTATTTGGCTTTTGGCAAAATGGTCATCTGTTCCATCAACATAACTCATGTCACTTGCTGTGCTGGGAAAATGAAATCAGTCATGATGGCACCTAAACAATCTGCATCTCTTTATCTTCTGTGTCAGCCAAAAGTTAGATGGACAGAGGGCAATAGTATGGTTAGAAGATATCCAGGCCTCGAGAAAAGGTTTATAAAAGAAGATGTGTGGAGGAGTTGGTGAGCTTCATTCCTTCATAATAGCCATGGACATTAGATCTAAATAATATATAAACATTGTTTTCTAGCGGAGAGCTTCATGGACCAGATGCAGTTTATTATGGAGATCTTTTATATCATGTGTAAATACTTTTCTCTTTAATGTATTTTGGAATTAATGTATTGATTTACTTCTAGGATTCTTAATCATTCAACTTCTGTCCCAAGAAACAAGCCAAAACAAACTATGGAATGCGAAAAGAGGTATAAAAATATCTTAGTCCTTATATTTAGTAGTTTTTAATGAGACTTGATTCTCTAATAGTGATGTTCCCATATGTGGGCTTTAATTGAGTAAGTGATACAGATTTAATATAACTAACTAGATAATTTAATGGCAAACTGTGTCCTAGCCACCAGTTCAATTTACTTTTGATATAAACAAATTAAAAAATGCTGATTTGATATCTTTTTCTACTCATACCTGCATTTCGTTGTAATGATAGAAGCATTTATTTACTAACTCATTATTGCTGGGAATAATGTGTTTCTTCATCATTGTGTTTGTTCTCTGTTATTGTTCACTTTTTTATTTAATTTCAATTGGGTTTTACTAAATTCTTCCTTATGAATTCAGGATCCGAGTTAATATATGTGAATTCCAGAGAACCCGAAGACCTTGAAAGTTTCTATTTATTTTGTTGGCAGTTTGAAAGTTTGTATTAGGTTCAATTCCTGGGTCATTCCTGTAGAAGGGTTAAGGTCCAAGGCTGGGTGTAGGGTTCGTATAGAAGTATACACAGAGAGAAGTAACATTTCTTGAATGCTTGTTGAATGCAAACTGTTCTGAGTGGGTTAGATGTCTTATCTCATTTAATCCTCATAATAACTCTATGAAGTTGTTACTCTTGTTACCTCATTTTGTAAGGGAGATAACTGAGGCTCAGAAATTACCATAATTTGCTCAAGGTCACACAGCTAGTAAGTGCCACAGTGAAGATTCAAGCCCAGGTTGTCTGGTTGCAGAACCTCAAGTCTTAACATATGGTAACAGGAACATTTTGCTTTCTTGAGATTCACACATCCCACTGATATCTTTTCCTGGATACCTCATAGTCTAAACTGAACTTATTTTTTCCCGAATTTATTTCTTCTGTATAGTTTGCCTGAGTGTGAATGTACCATTACTCAGTCACCAAAGTCAGCAACTTTGAAATTATTGAAAACTTCTCGTGTACCCCTCCCAATTCAGTCAATCACAGAGAATTATAGCTTCTTTTCTATTTTTTATTTTTTTTTCAATTTTTTGAAGATTTTATTTATTTGAGAGAGCATGCACAGAGGGAGGGTGAGAGGGAGAAGAAGACTTCCTGCTGAGCAGAGAGTCCAGATGTGAGGCCCCGTCCCAGGAGCCTGAGATCATGACCTGAGCTGAAGGCAGACGCTTAACCGACTAATCCACCTGGGTGCCCTGAAAATTATAGCTTCTTAACATTACTTCCATCTCTCCCAACTTCTTCATTCCTAGCACTGCCATGTTGGTTTAGGCTCTATCCTTTTCCTCCTGGATTACCACAACAGTCCCCAGACATATCTCCATTCTTCACTTTTGCCTACGTTTAAGTTTGTCTTCTGCATCGATGTAAGTGTTGGCTCCAAAACCATCTGTGACTGTCATTTATTATCTTCTACTGGTTATCACTTTCAGGGTAAAGCTGAAAATGCCTAAGTGAACCTGTAAGATTGAAGTGAGTTTCTGCTTACCTTAAACCTTATCATGCACTCTTCCACTGGCACGTTTTGCTGTTAGGAACAGTAATTTTTCTCTTTATCTATCATGATTTCATATCTGTTCTATATCCTGGTTTCTCTACTGGAATTGCCCTTTCTTTTTTTCACTTAGGCTTTCAGAATTCAGTTCAAACATAAAGATGACTTTTTATACTCAAGTCTAGAAACGTTCCTCTACTCAAATTTCATTAATTGGATTTAACCCACTCCCTCCCTTTTTGAGTACTGATTCTGTTATCTTATATATTTGCTCTCCTTAAAGTTTGTGTTATTACTTTGCTCCTCACTTCTTTTCATTCCCATCTTAAGCTTCCTCCCCAGATTCCTGATATTCTCTTGAGAAGGACCCAATTGCCCAAACCTCAAAAGTGTGATACCTAATCCTGACCTCTCTTTCATATAACTATTAGTTCTACTTTTCTCATTTTCAAAACAATCACTCAATTTTTTCTTTAAAAACAAAATTAAAAAAAAAGTTTTCTGGTAAGAATTAATGTAGCTTTGGTGTGCCTGGGTACCTCATTGGGTTAAGCCTCTGCCTTCGTCTTGGGGCATGATCTCAGGGTCCTGGGATGGAGCCCTGCATTGGGGGTCTCTGCTCAGTGGGGAGCCTGCTAACCCCACTCACTCTCTGCCTGCTTCTCTGCCTACTTGTGCCCCCTCTCTGTCAAATAAATAAATAAAATCTCTTTAAAAAAAAGAATTAATGGAGCTTTATTGTTGCAAAATTACAAAACTTGGCAAACACAAATAAATAAATAAATATCACCTATTTTCCCACTCTCCAGAGATGACAAGTCATAGTATTTTGGTGTTTTCCCCTTTAGAGCCTTTTTCTATCTGTGTGCATAAATATTTGCACATGCATGTGTGTATGTATATACATATACCAAAGAGTTGTATAACCTGTTGCCTACTCAACACCTCTACTTGGATGTATAATAGGCATATGAAACTTTTTATTTTATTTTATTTTTTTATTAACATGTAATGTGTTATTAGCCCCAGGAGGCATACGAAACTTAACTTTTCAAATCCACACTCTTAATTCCTCTTTGCACCTTTTGAATTTGTTTTTCCTTAATTTTTTCCCATTTCAAAACATGTCAACTCATCCTTATATTTTTTTTAAATTTTTTTTTTAAAGATTTTATTTATTTATCTGAGAGAGAGAGACAGTGAGAGAGAGCATGAGCGAGGAGAAGGTCAGAGAGAGAAGCAGACACCCCGTGGAGCTGGGAGCCCGATGCAGGACTCGATCCCGGGACTCCGGGATCATGACCTGAGCTGAAGGCAGTCCTCCAACCAACTGAGCCACCCAGGCGTCCCTCAACTCATCCTTATAGTTGCTCAGCTCAAAAACCTCAGAGTCAACCATAACATGTCATTTTCTTTCACATGTCATATCTAATCCATTAACAAATAATGGATTTGCTATTATTTGCTATTGTTTGACTCTGCCTTCAAAATATACCCCAAATCTAATCACATCTTACTACCTCCACATCTACCACCCTAGCCCTCACCATGTCTTCTAAAAATTTTTTTAATTTAATTTTTATTATTTATTTATATTAGTTTTACTTTTTTTTCCCTCTGTGTTCTTGTTTAAATTCAAGTTACTTAACATTTAGTGTAATATTGGTTTCAGGAGTAGAATTTATGGGTTCATCACTTACATACAACGCCTAGTGCTTCAACAAGTGCCCTCCTTAATACCCATCACCCTACTAGCCCATCTCCCACCCACCTCCCCTCCAGCAACCCTCAGTTTGAGGTCTCTGTAGTTAACAGTTTCTTATGGTTTGCCTCCCTATCTGTTTTCCTCCTATTTTACTTTTTCTTCCCTTCCCCTGTGTTCAACTGTTTTGTTTATTAAATTCCACATACGAGTGAAATCACATATTTGTCCTTCTCTGACTGACTTATTTTGGCTCTAGCCATCTCTTAACTTCAGTTATTAAAAAAACCCTCCTAACAGGTTTCATGCCCTTGCTTTCCTTTAGTCTGTTTTTCAAAAAAGCATCAGATTTTTATCTTTTGAAATGTAAGTTAGATCATGTCACTCTTCATAATTCTCTAATGACTTCCCATCTCGTTCAAGATAAAAACTAGAGTCCTTTAAGGACTTAGAAACCTCTACGTTATTTGGCTCCCTCCTATCTTCTTTCTTGCCTGGATCTTCCTGGTTAGTTAGTTGCTCTCTAGCTATACTGGCCTCCTTGTTGCATCTCCATACACTAGGCATTTCCTGCTCCCTCAAGGCTTTTGCCTTTGCCTGAAATGATTTCCCCCTAGATAGCCTTATGGCTTGTTCCCTTGGCTTCAGGTTTCTGCTCAAATTTCACTTCATTAGCAAGGAGTTCCCTGGACAACTTAAATAAAAGAGGATGCCTCCCCACTTCTTTGTCCTTTTTTGATACCCTAACCCTGTTTTATTTTTGTCCAAGAACGTAATACCCTCTGACATTCCAAATTTATACATTTTTTCCATCTGGCATTATGAATATATACTACTTTGTTTACTGTTTTTCTTCACCACCACACCACTCCCTTGGCACACTACAATGTCAGTTTTATCAGTTATTGAGAGAAGACTATTAAAATCTCCAGGACTAATTGGGAATTTGGCTTTGATGTTCTGTCATTTTCCCTTCATATAGTCGTATACTCTGTGTTAGATACATAAATATTTAGGACTGTAGTGTCCTCTTAGTAAACTTATGCCTTTGTCATTTTGAAATGACATTTTTTATATTTCTGATAGTTTTCTTTGAAGTCTACTTTTCTGATATTGTATAGTCATCTCAGCTTTCTTTTGATTAGTGTTAACATGATAGATATATCTTTCTCCATCCTTTTATTTTTAACCTACCTGTGTTTTTGTGGAGAAAGTTGATTTCTTGTATTTAGCATATGGTAGTACCTTCCTTTTGTATTTAATTTGAGAATCTTAATGGCAGTGTTCATATTGTTTATATCTAATGGAATTATTGATATTAATGGATTTAAATCTACCATCTTTTGTGCTTTTGTCTTATCTATTCATTATACCCATCTTTCCTCTTTTTAATTTTATTTTAAAATTCCCATTTATCTCCTTCATGGCCTTATTAGCTATAATTTTTTGTTATCGTACATTAGTGATTATTTTAGGATTTAACGTATAGTGTTTAACTGGGATGCCTGGGTGGCTCAGTCGTTTAAGCATCTTCCTTTGGCTCAGGTCGTGATCCCAGTGTCCTGGGATCGAGTCTCTTCTCCCTCTGCTTGTGTGCGCTCGCGCTCTCTCTCTCTTTCTGACCCCCCCCCCCCAAAAAAGAATAGTGTTTAACTTATCACAGTCTACATTCAAGTGCTATTATGCCATTTCATACGTTGCATAACTTTACAACAGTATACTTCTGTTTCTTCCTTTTTGGCCTCTGTGGTGGCGTTACTGTATATTTTACTTATATATGTTATAAACCCCATAATACATTGTCATTATTTTTGCTTTAAAGAGTCAATTATTTCCTTAAAGAGATTTAAGTAATCAGAATAATGTCTTTTATCTTTCCTCCCTTAACTCTCTCTAGTAGCTCTGTATTTCCATGTATAGTTTTCTTTCTACCTGAAAGAGAAGCTTTAAGACTACTTTTATTACTGGTCCACTTTTGTTGAATCCTTTCAGCTTCTGTATGAGAAAGTCTTGGTTTTGCCTTCATTTTTGAAAGCTATCTTTGCTGTTACAAAATTCTAGGTTGACATTTTTGTTTTCTTTCAGCACCTTAAAGAATTTTCTCCTCTGTCCTCTGGATTAGATCGTTTCTTATGAAAATTCTCTTGTCAATGTTTGTTTCATAGAATCTAATGTGTCTTTTTTCTCTGGCTGCTACTTACAATTTTTTTTTTTATCATTTGTTTTTAAGTAATTTGATTATGAGGTATCTTGGTGTAGTTTTCTTCATTTTTCTTTTGCTTGGAGTTCTTTGAGCTTCTGAAATTTGCGGGTTTATTGTTTTCATGAAATTTGTAAATTTGGGGCCCTTATTTCTTCGAAGATCTTTTCTGTCACCTGACCTATTCTTCTGGAACCCCAATTATATTTATATTAGGCTACTTAAAGTCTCCCACCAGTCGCTGAGGTTCTGTTCAGTCCTCTTCAATATTTTTCTTTCTGTCTTTGATTTTTCTTTTTAACTTTTTTAAAGCTTTTATTTATTTATTTGACAGAGAGAGAGTGAGAGAGCACAAGCAGAGGAAGCAGGAGAGAGAGAAGTAGGACCCCAGGATCATGACCTGAGCTGAAGGCAGGCACTTAACTGGCTAAGCCACCTAGGCACCCTCTGCATTTGATTTTTGATAGTTCTTTTACTAAGCCTTTTACTAAGTCTAATCAATTCTTTTTTTTTTTAAAGATTCTATTTTTTTTTTTTAATTTATTTGACAGATCACAAGTAGGCAGAGGCAGGCAGAGAGAGACAGGAGGAGGAGGCAGGCTCCCTGCTGAGCAGAGAGCCCGATGCGGGACTCGATCCCAGGACCCTGAGATCATGACCTGAGCCGAAGGCAGAGGCTTTAACCACTGAGCCACCCAGGCGCCCCTAAAGATTCTATTTTTAAGTAATCTCCATACCTAATGTGGGGCTCAAACTTATAACCCCAAGATCAAGAGTCTCATGCTGTACCTACTGAGCCAGCCAGGCACACCTCTTAAATGTCCAATCTACAGTTAATCCCATCCAGTTTATTTTTATTTTATTTTTATTTTTTTGTAATTTTATTTTATTTTTCAGTGTTCCAGGATTCATTGTTTATGTACCACACCCAGTGCTCCATGCAATATGTGCCCTCCTTAATACCTATCACCAGGCTTACCCAGCCCCCCACTATCCAGTTTATTTTTAATTTCAGATGTTGTACTTTTCATCTCTTGAATTTTGATTTTTATCTATTTTATGTCTATTGTGTTTGTACTTAACATATTTAGTCTTTTCTTCTTGCTTCTGAATATTACCTGATTAAATTTTTGATTGAATGCTGGACATTGTGAACTTCACCTTCTTGGGTGCTGGATTTTACAGTATCATTATAAATATTCTTGAACGTTGTTCTAGGATGTGGTTAAATTAATTGGCAACAATTTGATATTTGGGGGATTTGGTTTTATAACTTGTTATATGGAATCAGTGTGGCATTTAGCCTAGGACTAGATTTGGCCCCCTACTGGAGGAAGGCTTTTCTTAGTACTATAGCTGATGCCCCATGAACTGCATGCTTTTCCAGTCTGGCTGGTGGGAATTGGTATTAATTTATTCATAGTCCTCTCTAAGTCTGAGAATTATTCTGTCTTTCTGGCTCTTCGTTCTTTTGCCTAGTGTAGTTTTCTCAGGCATATGATCAGGGCTCAGTACTCGGTTGAAAATATTAAGAATGCTTCTGTAGAACTTTTAAGTTCTTTTTCTGTGCTTTGCTTTTTTTCTCTCTCACTTTGTCCTGTTAATGCCATCCATCTTTTTCACCCTGGCTCCCAGCTTCGTCTCCTCAATTCAGGGAGCTCCCTGGACCTTACTTTGTTTCCTCCTCTCTGGGTTAGAAGCTTGGAAACTTTTTTCCTGCAGCAACCTGATGCAGTTATGGGGGTTTCACCTTGTTTGTTACCCATCTGTAAGGGATAAAATGTCTTTTTTTTTTTTTCTTGCCTGATACTCAGTGTTCTGGAAAGCAGAATTCTATATATTTTGTCTGCTCTTTTAGTGTTTTCTGTCAGGGTATAAATCTGATCACTGTTATTCTATCTTGGCCAGACGCAAAGTCTAATTCTTACATTTTGTTATGTTTTGTCAATGTTTAGTTTGTTTCTTTCATATAACTCCCTGCCCCAACATTTAAAAACTTACTGCCCATATTTTTCATATACATATGTGATTTCATCTTTATTCATACTTAAATCTTTTAGTCATTAACTTTGGTATTTGATATGAGGTAAGGTAGTTGGTTTTTTCTTCCTCTTTTACACCCTCTCTCTTTCTTTTTCTTACTCCCTACCCTCCTCACCCTCTGTTTTTCTTTCTTTCTGTGTGTGTTTTATAATTGGCTAATCAGTTATTGCAACACTATTTGCTACATAACCTATCATTTCTATGACAATTGTGAATTTCATTTTTTAAATCATAGGTTGTTATATTTGTGGTCCTGTACTTGTCTTCCACTGGAAAATCTATAAATTCTGGATGTCATAATATTTAATTACTTTAATAGAATATATGCAGTTTCCTGGTAGGGAAGTCCCCTTTATTATCTAACTTTTCTCTATCATTTATTCTTCCAAATTAACTTTGAAATTCTTTTATCAAGTCTCTTAATACAAGTCCAGAAATACTTTCTATCTTTTTATTATATTTTATTTCAGCTGCCAAATAATTTGAAATGGTTATATCCATAAAATTTAGTCTTTCTTTTATTTTAAAGATTTTATTTATTTATTTGACAGAGAGAGACAGCGAGGGAGGGAACACAAGTAGGGGTAGTGGAAGAAGGAGAAGCAGGCCTTCGGCTGAGCAGGGAGCCGGACACACAGGGCTCCATCCCAGGACCATGGGACCATAACCTCAGCTGAAGGCAGATGCATAGCAACTGAGCCACCCATGTGCCCAATATTTAGACTTTCTAAGAACTTTATACTTATTCCGTTTCCTTTCTAGACACACTGGTAGTTTTTGTTTTGTTTTGTTTTGTTTTGAGAGAGAGAAAGAGAGCACAAACGGGAAACAGGGAACAGGGTTGGTGGCAGAGGGAGAGAGAGAATCCCAAGCAGGCTCCATGCTCAATGCTGAGACTTGATTTCAACCATGAGATCATGACCTGAGCTGAAATTAAGAGTTGGATGCTTAACTGGTTGAGCCACTCAAGTGCCCCAACATGGGTAGTTTTTTTTCTTGTAGGTCTAATGCATGTCTAAGTTAAGTTTGCTCCTACTATTTTTGCTTTTCCTTCCTTTTATGAATGAATTTTTTTCCTAATATATTTTATAGCTTATTATAATTGATATATGAGAAAGCTATTAACTTTTGTATATTTTTTATAACTGGTAAATTTCTTTTAATAATAATAGGATTTTTTCCCCCTTGGATAATCATATTTTCCATAAATTTTGAAAATTTGTTTCTTTCTAATTTTTAAATGTTCTTTCTTACTGTACAACAGAGAAGTTCTACAACAGTGTTTAATAATAGCTCTAGTGGGCATTTTGTCTGTGTATTTTTTTCAAAGGAACTTCTTGCCTAATAACAAGATGTGCAGTTTACTTTTCCTGACAAAAATAGATGAGAAGAATTTCAACCATAGCCCCTGTGTGTCAGAATGAAGGGTTAGAGGTTCATAATCTGTAATTCAATAGTCAAAAAGGCATTACTCCCCTAATCTCTTTGGTATTTAAACAAAATAAATTTGTATAAAATTATTAGATTTTTATTTGTTTTTTTGTGATTTAATGTAATAAACATTCTGTTTTTTCACTGTATGTCTAGGTATTACATTTCTTTTGGCCTCTAAAAAGTCCTTAGAGTAGTCTTTTGCATGGGATGATATTAAATAAATGAATTTTGAGTTTTTTAAATGAATAGAAGTGATTGGGAACTTAAATATGTTTTTCTGGACTTTAAGTTTTATGTTATTAGTTCAAACTATAGACATGGGTAAATTCTTTAGATTTCTGGTAAAAAGAAAAAAAAAGAGAGAGAGTGAGAGGGAGAGACAACTCTTTATTGTTCATAATAAATTCCTAAGGGTAAGTCTAAATTTTTTACCATATTAAGGCATCTTTAATTTTGTAGTGTCTCAGCAGATGAAGTTAATTCACCGTTATCACCCCTCACATGGCAGGTAAGAGGAAAATGAATTCCTGTTGTATCTAATATTTTGTTCTCATTTATTTAGTTAAAAGAAATTGTCTCATTACAGCCCTTAGAAAATCAGAAGGATCAAATAGATGAACAGCAGTGGCCAGAATCTCAACCTATAATCTGGCAGAGTGAAGAAAGGAGGCGGAGCAAACAGATTAGAAAAGAATATTTCAAGGTACTTTTTATTAAATTGCAAAATTTACTTTGTAATTATTAGCTTTGGTTTTATAAGTTTTGAATTAATAAGGTAGCCTATAACTCTAGTTACATGTAGTAAATGTGCTATTTTATCTTGGTTTCCCACATGCATAGATATATATAATATGATCCAGTTAAATATATGAAATTTCAGTAATTCAGAATAATTAAGAATGACTCTGTAGATCAATGTGATTTGTGATTTACCAGATACTTGACATGAAAGTTGAATGTTTGCTCTACTGCTAGTTGTAGCAATATGTAGTTATGTTTTAAAAGAACTGGCTAGAAAAGTCTTTAGTAGATTTGTTTCACTATATAGTTCACATGTATTTGCAATTAGCAATTAACTGTTTCTGTCTAAATAAATGCTACTTACGTGGCTCTAAAAATGCTTGGAAGTGTTTCTCCCCCATTTTTTCTTCTTGCTACCTTAGTAGATTTCTCAAGATGATCTTTTATCTTAGGTAAATTAAAAGTTTAGATTATTTGAATCATCCCAAATTTCTAGTTAACGGGGTTTTAATGAAATTTTACTGTGTATACCCTTATAAATATTGTAATATTATTCATTTGTGGTTAAAGTCTGCTATGTTTATAGAAACCAGTGGAATTAGCATAATCTTCAGTACTAGTCAGAATCCATTACTGGAATTCCTGACTCAGATGAACAGTACGGGAAAGCTTCCTGCCCCATGAATACCAAATTCTGTTTTTGTGCACCTGTTCCCCAAGCCTAATTTTTATTCAATAATAATAATTTTATGTAAATATGTAGTTTTATGCTAAATTATAGGTAGTTTGAGGTTTATATCATTAACGGATAGGATTATATTTCATGTTTTTCTCTGTTTGGTAAAAGCGGTTATATGTACACATTGATCGGTTTACTTATATGGGAATATAACATATTTTGAAGTAGTATCATATGACCAAAACAAGAATGTTATGTGTCGTAGCAAGCCTGTGATAAGTTTCATACTTCTATGGTAATTAATTACTGAATCCTTTTATTGATCCTATTACCTGGTCCATATGAGAGATCGTGAAGAAATAAGAGATAGGGAAAAAAACAAGGTCATTCTAAGCAGAACCCTGGTCAGTAGTGGTCAAAGTCTATTTATCCCAGATCTTTACAGATCTGCAGTTATATTTACATTCTGACACTTATTTCAGAATCTCCTCTTTCAGTTTATAGGACCTTGAACAAAGGCACTCAGTAAAATTTGTTAGTAGATAAAACCTGACGAATGAGTGATGATGTGGAGGAAATTTTAATTTTTCTGACTAATGGAATAGATTTTGGTATTTATTTGATCTACTAGTAAAGTAAAAGCACCTAAATTCTGACTGTTTATCAAAACACTTGCATAGCACTTACTAAGTGCCAGGCACTGTTCTAAGTACTTTACAAGTATCAATTAATTTAATATTCATAACAGCCCTATGAAGTAAGTACAATTACCATTCTTATTTTACAGATAGGGAAATTAAGGCACAGAGAGGCTAAGTAATATGCTTTGCCTCACTTAGCTAATAAGCAGTTGAGCCAAGATTTGAACCCAGAGCTTATGCTACATTGCCTGTTTAACTACTGTGGAAAGCCTAATATCAAATGAAAACTTTCAGATCAATACAGTTTTATTGTTTTTAAAAATACAGTAACCCAAGTGAACTTCTCAATAAAGTCTTAACAGAAGCCTCAGTGAGCCTTTAAAAAAATAGTTGTTTGATTTAATAGCATCATTTGTTAAATATTTTATTTTTAAGACTTAAACATACCTCCTATAATATTTCTATTTTATAAGCGCTAAAAGATCGAATGAGGTAGTGTTTGAAATATCCATTACATTATCTGCATTCAACAAATGTTAATTGCTTCCATGCTTTTAGTAAAGTGGGTGCAAAGTTAAGCTTTAGTCATTGGGAAATATTTTAAGGAGATATGTAGTTCTCCTCAGTAGTCAGAAGATGTCAGTGTTAGGACACTGAAAAAGATGGAATGTCAACAGTTTTTTCCTAAGCTGTAAAAAAAGATATAAACCTGAGATACTACTGTCTAAGTCAAAACCATTATTCAGAATTGCCAGTATTTTCTTGTTTAAGACATCGTTGATACCTATGAAGTGTCTTTATTTTAAAAATAAAATTTCTCTTAATCACCCATCTCCCAAGAATCAGAAGGGTTATTCATAGGATATATTACTGAACTTAGTCTGGATTTATAGTTGATTAAACACGAAAATATACTACTTTAGAGATTTATATCCAAATAATACCAAGCTCACTCAGTGAGAGCCCCTTTAGCTTTGTGCTGTTAAGAAACATACAGAGATTTTGTGCAACTTTATCCCAGCACATGTAAATGACTGAGCCACAAGATTTCTTTGTGTTCCATGGTAAATTATTAATGGCATTGTTGTTATTCAGTATATTTATTGAAAGTGTTTATGTGTATGTTTGTGTGCATGGGTCTCTTTATATATTATTTCTCAGTTGCCAAGACTGATCTTGGATAGTAACGTTTTTCAGGTAAAAACTTACTGAAACTAAGTAAAAAAGGTTTCAACATATTGGCCAGATTATGTGAGCAAGAAGATAAATTGGGTCAGATTATATGAGTAAAAAAAAAATCATTGTAGGAGAGTTACACTAACTCTTCTAGACTCCCAGACCACTCTTGTGTAGGTTACTACTCTACTAAATAAAATAATGTCCTCATTGTCAAAATAAAGTCACTGCATTTTTAAAGTAAACATATTTCAGGAAATACATTATTAAAAATCTCTTAAAGAAGGGCAAATGTAGTTTACATTTTACAGAGGTGTATTAATACTTTTAATAAGACACACAACAAAATATGAACATCTAATTTTTTGATAAATTATGTTTAATGTAAATTAGTAGCTTTAATTTCTTCTAAAAATAATAATACATAGATTTCTAAATCACTTGGTTGATTTCTAAACAAGAAAGTTAAAAAGCAATAACATAACTATACCATATTAGTTTTAAAGATTATTTGATTTATTGAAATGCCATATGTATTTGTCTACAAATGTATCTTATTGCTGTTATGATAAAATATTATAATGACCCTTAAATAAATATCTGATTTCATAAATACAGTATATCTGCATTTACAAGCTAATGCCAAGGAAAATATTTTTATGTATTTTCTCTGATCATGACTAATTTTATCCTAGAATAGGGAAGCTAACTGGGTTTGTGAAATAACCTGATTTGTTTTGTTCTGAGTCAATGGAGTTTGCACAAGTTAATGGCTCTTCTGTGAAATTAACATAAGCTTCAGAAGTGAACTGACCTTTTTTGTTTCTCTGGTTTGTAAATAGGTCTTTACTAAGTTATTTCAATTTAGATATAATAAACTTTAGTTATTCAGACTAATACTAATTGAGGACAGTTGAATTGATTCAGTAAAAGTTGGACTTATAGAATATTCTCAAATCTATGCATATATTAGGTTTTGGGTGTTAAGACCTTTAAATCTGTGCAGTAGTGCAAACTAAGGAGTGCCTTCCTAAGTTGTCATATATCATGGATATTTTTAATTAGAAGTGTAGTTGAGTTATAGTACTACAAGTCTCATTATCTATGTTCTTGACCTCATTACACTCTGTTTCTTTCCTTTATCAGTTATTCACTCACTCTTCTATATTCTTTCCATGTCTTTACTTTCCATCGGATACATGAGCTCAGACCTCTGCAGTTATCCCCAAGTCCCCTTGGAGCTGTTGCCTTGTCTCTTTCCTTTTAGGGCCAGACTTACCATTTCTATATCTCCAGGTTCTGATCACTTCTTAACCCACCACAGTTTGGATTCTGCTTCCATTTCTCCATTGAAATAACCTCTTACCTAGAGCTTAACATGTACCTAAGAATTTTTTTTTAAAGATTTTATTTATTTATTAGACAGAGAGAGAGCACAAGCAAGGGGAGCAGCAGGGAGAGGGAGAGGGAGAAGCAGACTCTCTGCTTTGAGCAGGGAGCCTGATTTGGGACTTGATCCCAGGACCCTGAGATCGTGACCTGAGCTGAAGGCAGAGGCTTAACCAACTGAGTCACTCAGGCACCCCTGTACCTAAGAATATGACAGTGATTACTACCACATCTCTCTTCTTGAAACTTCTTTCTTGTTTTCTATTTCATTTTTCTTCCTTGGTTTTTTTGTTTTCTTTTGGATGTTCTTGTTTATCTTCTGACTTTGCTTCTGCTTGCTTTTAGGGGCTCATCTTCTTTTCATTACCCTAAAAATGCTCTCTGAAGCTTTTATGACTCCAGATGTCTCATATTCTGGGGGGGGGTCTAAATTTACATACCACAGCTTTTTTCCTGGTCTCCAGACCTGTGTTTTAATTGTCTGGATGCTTTACATGTATTTCATATTTGATACGTCTCTCCCTCCTGCCCGTCTCCTGCATAGAAGTTGCTCTTCCTCTCTTTTCTTTATTCGAGTTAATAGTAGCAATGTCTATCCAGTTGTCTGTGCTCTATACCTCTGTCCTCCTGGATCTTTCCTTCTCTTATTCCTCTCACCTAATTGATCACCAGGATGTTAATTATATGTCCTTTCTCCAATTCATCATTTCTTCTCCATCTCTACTGCCCTTGCTTTTTTTTTTTTTTTTTAAAGATTTTATTTATTTATTTTGACAGACAGAGATCACAAGTAGGCAGAGAGAGAGGAAGGGAAGCAGGCTCCTGGCTGAGCAGATAGCCCGATTCGGGGCTCGATCCCAGGACCCTGGGATCATGACCTGAGCTGAAGGCAGAGGCTTTAACCCACTGAGCCACCCAGGTGCCCCCTACTGCCCTTGCTTTTGTTGGAACCCTCATTCTTTCTTGTCTAGGCAAATGTAATAACTCCTTAAATGGCCTCCCTATCTGTAGTTTCACAGTCCTTAGAGAAATCCCCTGACTTAAATTTTTTTCTTGGATCTCTATTATCAGTAACACAAAGTTTGGGCTTTTACGAAACTTCAGACACTGTGTTCATCTACTCCTCTAAATTTTATTACCTGCTACAATTCACTCTCCTCGCTAGCCATACTGCTGTTATTTTTAAAAGAATTATTTCTTTATTTAATTTTAGTGTGAGAGAGAGCATGGGTGGGGAAGCGCAGAGGGAGAGGGAGAGAGAAGTCTCAAGTAGACTCCCCGCTGAGTGTGGAGCCTGCCCAGTAGGGGCCTCGATCTACAACCTTGAGATCATGACCTGAGCCAAAACCAAGAGTTTGACGCTTAACTGACTGTGCCACCCAGGCGCCCCACCATACCTCTACTCTTTGTTTTCTACATAGGCTAAGCTTTTTTATTCCTTTGTGCTTTCCTTCTGAGGATGCCCACTAGCTCTTTTTATTCCTGGCAAACTTCTACTAATCTTTCAGGATTTAGAGATGGTAGTATAGCATAGTGGCTTAGAGCCTTGACTTCTAGGATCAAGATGCTTTGGTTCCAGTTTTTAACTTGGATATTCACTAACTGTGTGACTTTGACAAATCACCTGACCTTGCTGAGCTTAATTTTTTTCTATCCTCGAATGACTCTGATAGTATCTTCTTTTACAGGATTCTATAACTACTGAATTACTTGATAATGTGAAGTAGTTATGAGAATAGCACTTGCCACAAAGTATACATTTAATAAATATTAGCTTATTATTCACTCCAATGTCATTCTTTTTTTTTTGTTTTGTTTTGTTTTTGTACCAGTCTTCTTGTATCAGGTATTAATTCTCAGTTAAAATAGGAAAGGATTCAACAAATATCAGTCATGCCTGACAGAGAAGGTCATGGTCAGGAATGCAGACTGCGCCCTCCTGGGCCCTCTTCAGTGGTACATATGTAGCTGTTGATGTTTGAGTTCCTTGAATGAAAGGCAGTAGTTGAAAAGCATGTAAGATGCCAACAACATAGAAACCCCCATGATGGTCCCTTTCTTCACATTGTCGTACTTGTAATACTGGTAGTAACCTCTTCGCAAAACCCCAACAGTGCCTTTAGGAGTGAAATCCTACAACAGTATTCAACTTAGCAGCTCCTCTGTTTAGACGTCCATGAATTTCTTCTCCTTTACTGTTATGACGGATGCCATCTTCAGGTCCTAGCGTCTGCTGTGCAAATGTCACTTTTTTTTTTTTTTTAAGATTTTATTTATTTGACAGAGATCACAAGTAGGCAGAGAGGTAGGCAGAGAGAGAGAGGGAGGGGAAGTGGGCTCCCTGCTGAGTAGAAAGCCCGACGTGGGGCTCGATATCAGGACCCTGGGACCATGACCTGAGCCGAAGGCAGAGGCTTTAACCCACTGAGCCACCCAGGCACCCCGTCCCTCTTTTGTTGAAGTAGAATAGAACCAAGAACACAAATTGTCTGCAAGCATCATGCCTAAGGATGGCAAGTAGGTTTTTTCACACATGCCACAACTCCATTCAGTGGCTATCTGGAACATTGGGTGTAAACATATTGAGATTATGTCTGGAATCAGCTGGAGAGAGCACCCTAGTAGATTAGTGATAGCTGTCATAAATCACTGGAGAGACAGTGAAGGAATTTAGGTTTGATATTTGTAATTCCTAATACTGCTTGCCTCCCAATCTGTGGTTGAGCTCTCAGGTAGATTATCTAGTTTTCCAAGAGTTAGGGAATATAAAGCTGCATAAGTAAAGAGGGACATTAAGTAGAACTTTGAATGCCAGGTAAAGAAATCTGAACATAATTTGAAAGTAGGTTTTTCAGTAAGGGAGTCATGAGTTGCAAGTAGTGTTTTGAGTGTTTTAATCTGGCACTGATTTGCAGGATTATTTGTGGTGAGGAGGATTTAGAAATAATAACCCTAGAGGACTTTGAAACAAGAACTATAGTGGTTGTCACTGTATTTCTTTAATTCTTGATTCTAAAAACAAGCACTTTTTCACACACTAGCATTTTTTATTTTAAGCATATGACCTTGTGCCTCAGTATAAAATGCAGATAATAGTATTCACTTGAGCATTGTTAGGACGATTAAATGGTTGATACATGTAACACACTTTTGACAGGGCCTGGTGTATAGTAAACGCTTCTATAAGTATTAGCTATTATCACTATTACTGTTATTGTATGATCAGTATATATACCTAACATAATGGTTTTTGTTTTTTTTTACCTGAAATCAGTAGGTTTCTTAACAATAGATGGCATTTTTGAATGGTGAGATTACCCACTAGGTGTGAGGTAATGGGGGCCTAGGATAAGTTGGTAGTTGTTTGAATTTGGAAGTAAGCCTGAGAGACATTACAGAAAAAATTGACAATGATGTTTTAGATATAGTGAACTAAGAAAAACAGAGAGTTTAAGACAACTTTCAGATAGAAAACTTGAATGAATGGGAAGTGGATTGGCTCAGGAAGGAAATGTTAATAGATATATAGAATGATGCCATGAAAGCACTGTTTGTGTTAGCTATTAGTAACTGGTAGGACTGTTTAAATTGGTTATATAATTAAAGTTAGTATCAGATAATTTAATAAAAGTACCAAAATATGAATAAACCTTACATATAATTTACTGATAGAGAACTCATGTGTTCAAAGAAAAATAAAGTGTATGTTTTAAATATTTTTCAGTATAAATCATCAAGGAAGAGTTCAAGTGGCAATGAAAAGGATGAGGTGAGAAAAGGGGGGGTAGTAGCAATTATTTTAAAATGTTTACTTTTTATATGTAGTTGGCTCATTCAGAGTAAAATGTAATACCTCTGTCAGTTTCTTGGTTAGTGATTTAATGCATGGGTTTTTTTTTCCAATAATAAAAACTGAGCATCATCTTGCAATTGTTAATTTAATCATCTAATTTCCATATATCCTTTATTTTGAACAGAATTTCTAATAGTTCAGTTTTAGAATTATATTAATAACATTTGTCTTTTACATTTTCTCATCTATTGTTTTCCTAAATCAACATTGTGATCATTTGAGATTCTTTTGGAATTTATTAATCTTTTTTTTTTATAAATTTTGTGTACTCTTTTAACATTTAAAATTAAGTTGCTACAGCTTGTGCATTACTATAAATTTTTCTATCTCACCATTTTTAAATTATAGAGCAGCCTAGCATTTTTGAAATGATATAGTGTCATCACCATAAATACTTAAGCTTTGTGCATTTTTCATTAGAGGGATTAGTAGGTAATTTGATGTTGAGTACTAGGCAGGGCTTCTGAAAACTTTAAGAAATGGAATCACAGAAAATGTTTGCTGAACCCTGAGCTAGAGGTACAGCTTGGCATTGTTCCTGTCCCTTTGTATTTAAAAAAATTTTTTTTAAATTAATATATAATGTATTATTTGTTTCAGTCATTCATCAGTCTTACACAATTCACAGCACTCACTTAGTACATACCCTCCCCCATGTCCATCACCCAGCCACCCATACCTCACTCCCCTCTCCCCTCCAGCAACCTTCAGTTTGTTTCCTGAGATTAAGAGTCTTTTATGGTTTGTTTCCCTCTCTGGCTTCATCTTTTTTCATTTTTCCCTCCCTTCCCCTATGATCCTCTGTCTTGTTTCTCAAATTCCTCATATCAGTGAGATCATATGATAATTGTCTTTCTCTGCTTGACTTATTTCACTTAACATAATACCTTCTAGTTCCATCCACATTGTTGCAAATGGCAAGAATTCATTTTTTGATGGCTGCATAATATTCCAGTGTAGATATATACCACATCTTCTTTATCCATTAATCAGTTGATGGACATCATGTCCCTTTGTATTTTATATCCACTTTGGTCCTGCCTGCCTTAATATCTAATCAGTTACCAAATACCTACTTTTTCTTAGTGATACTGAAATATTTTGAATACATTCCCCACATGCATTTCTGCTTTTTCTGCCCTGGCACAGGCGCTTAGCATTTTTTTTGCCTGTACCACATGCAATATCATCCTTCCTCTTTTCCCTTTCTACAGCCCATTTCTCTCCTTGCAGCCACAATGATTGCTCCAAAGAACACAAAAATGAGCTCAGGCTATCCCTTTGATTAGAAAGCTTCATTGTGTCCCTGTCACTTAGAAGGTAAATTCTTGGTTCTTCCTGAGCAGGCCCCTGCTTAGCACATCAACCTCAGCTCATAATCTGTCCTGCTTTCTCTTTCTTTCACTGTACTCTCCCAATATGGACTGCTCAAAAATTTTCTTTCGTTTTTGCTTCTGTGCCTTTGTCCTTTTAGACATCTTGGAATGTTGTTCATTCCTTCTCTTTCTGGTAAACACCTACTCAATTTTTCACTTTCTCAGGAGATTTGCCTTTCTCTACCACACCTTCCAATTCCCCAAATGCCCCTTACCCGTGCCTCATAATATGCATGCATAGCTTTGTCATTGTACTGAGAAGGTTGTATTACCTGTACAAATGAATATCATTTCCCCCTAGACTAAGAGATCCTTGAGTGGATGATATTTTACTAAATGTTAATATCCCCACTGTCTAGTACCATGTCTTACATATAATAATAGGCAGTCTATAATCTGTTGAATGATGAATAAACGTCTTATGTGGTATGCATATTCAAGGTTAAATGTGAAGATTTTTGTATTTGGTTGGTAGTAGTCATTCAAAATCATGGACCATTTAATATTATTTTATGCAGTTAAGTTCTTTATATTTACTTCTAAGCCAATATTAGATACACATAATTTTCCATGTAAAATGTTCGTACTTGGGGTGATAGAATTTTTGTATGCCTCCATATACCTCTTTCAGATTGTAGCATCTTGTTGGCATGTCCCATCAATAATTAATCCTAAATATGGATCTCTTCTAAAAAATACAGAAAGATTTTTTTTTCATTTTTGTTATTTAAGGGAAATAGATTTTTTAGGAATATTTGATGTGAATTGATAGTGCTTCTCATACCTTAAAGTGCTTATGAATCAATCACCTGGGGATCTTATTGAAATACAGAGTCTGGTTCAGCAGGTCTAGGGCTGGCCTGAGATTCTGCATTTTTCACAAGCTCCAAGAGGGTGCAGATGCTGTTGGTTCACAGACCACATATTGAGTGGCAAGGTGGTTGATAGTATTTTCCAGATTCTTCCTTTAGCAGTTAATCAAAACAGTTTTCAATTTTTCTTTTATATGTCTAAATCATCATTTGTATTTTAATTTCATCTTTCATATTTTTATTTTTATATTTTAGCAAGACAGTGATAATGCTAATATGTCACCACAATCTCCAGTATCATCTGAGGTACAAGTTCTGTTTTTATATGTGTTTACTTAGGTTTCTTCCTTGTTTCTTCTCTTTAATCTCATCATTCTTTTTCTTTTAAACAATATAATTTATTCACCCATATTAAGAAATCTACAGTAGTTTAATTTGTGCAAACCTAGCCTATAAAAAATTCTAAGAACACCATCTTTTGTACAAATATTTATAGTAATAGTATTACCTGAATTACTTTTATTGGAAAATGCCTATAGAGCATAGACTTCACTTTATAAAATTCTTATGTTTTATAATTCATCTATATTTTCAAATAAATGTTAAGAACAACTTCACAATTTTATATTTGAAAGAAGTACTTCAGCATTGTGCAATGGCCTTTGGTTTTTCTCATAACCAATTAGGTCTGAAAGCAATGCAAGAGAAAGTTCCTTTTTCCACGAGAAACTTCCCTGTGGTGGGTTGTTCCTATCGACAGGAGGGTACACCTTTCTTGTCATATTAGACCTAAGGGGGAGCATGGGGAGAAGGGTGGATGAAAGTCAAGATTTGTGAGATCTCACCCATACTCTGGTGGCTTGAATGACCAATTCTTCTAATTTAGTTAAGCCCATTACTTTACAACAGGAGATAAATTTAAAATATTCGAAATAGTATCTTTTCTACTTCAGATTATTTAGTGTTCTAAAAGTGTGTTGGCATTAGTAAAGAAATGATTATGTATTCACTTGGTGAATTCAGAACTTCGTCTAAATATTTGGAACATCCATATTCATCATGTAACTTTGGTTAATGACGTAGATAGTATTTCATTTTATGTAAGTGGTATTAATTTTTTTTAAAAGCCAGGATCATTTAGCTTTTGTTTTGGGTGAGTTGCATTATAAAACTTTCTTTTTTTAAAGATATTGTTTATTTATTTGACAGACAGCGATCACAAGTAGGCAGAGAGGCTGGCAGAGAGAGAAGGAAGCAGGCTCCCTGCAGAGCAGAGAGCCTGATGCGGGGCTCGATCCCAAGACCCTGGGATCATGACCTGAGCTGAAGGCAGAGGCTTCAACCCACTGAGCCACCCAGGCGCCCCGCACTATAAAACTTTTAAATGTTTTTGGTATTAGCTTTATAAACATGTCTAAATTATGTATATGGCAAGTAAAATGGTTTGGATTCTTTTAAAAAGTAATTTAAATTAGGATATCCTAAAATTAGTCTTTGTCACATGATCTTATTAATCTTTTCTTTTACTTTCAGTTATAATAAATGTAAGCGTATCAGTTACTAGTTCCCTAGTTTCCTTATGATTTTATCATCTCTGCTCATGGGGAGAGTATTAGTGCCATTTTTCTCAAATAAATTATATTGCTTTTATAATACATTTTGCTTGCATTTGGATAAGTCATATTTTGGGGAATTCATAACACTTTAACCAAATAATGAAGATGAACTATGAGCTTGTAGATGAGTACGGTGATGAAAATGTGCTTTGGTGGCTCAACTAACATTCAACTTGAACTGCGTATAACATGTTAATCAACAGAAGATTTAGAGAATTAACAGAATTTTGATTACTTGCATTTCATCTGTGAAAGACAATGGTAAAAACAATTAGTATAGTACTATACTATTTTTTATTATTATTTTATTTATTATTATCTTTTTAAATTTCAAGTAGGCTCCATTCACAACATAGGGCTTAAACTTACATGCTCCACTGACTGAGCCACCCAGGCACCCCTATACTGTTTAGTCTTTTTTTTAAGTAGGCTCCATGCCCAGTGTAGAACACACTGCAGGGTCTGAACTCATAACCCTGACATCAAGACCTGAGCTTCAATCAAGAGTCAGACACTTAACTGACTGAGCCACCCAGGCATTCCTAGTACTATACTATTAACAAAGTGCTTGCCTATACACTTGAACCTGAAGTAGTCCCATGAGCTGGTATTATCCTCATGATTTTATAGCTGAAGAGATTGGTAACCTTTCCCAAAGACCCCAATCAATAAATGAGAGACAAGTGACTGAAACCCATACTCTAGCTGCTTCATAGTTATTGCAAGCATTAAATAAGATACGGCTGAAAATGTTTTCTTATCACTGTACAATTTCCAAAGTGCTTTCTTTTAGTTATCTGAGTTAATCTTCACAACAAACACTCCATCTTAAATATGGAGAAAGTCACAGAGAAATTAATTTTTTTTAAAGATTTTATTTATTTATTTGAGATAGATCACAAGCAGGGGTCAGAGGGAGAGGGAGAAGCAGAATCCCCACTGAGCAGGGAGCTTGATATAGGGCTTGATCCCAGGACCTGAAGATCATGATCTGAGCCCAAGGCAGATGCCAGACTGACAGAACCAGCCAGGTACCCTGAGAAATTGAATGTTTTGCTCAAAAGTTAGCCTAAGCTTTCTAACACCAAGCTTCGATTTTTTAAAATATACTATTTCTTTCCATAGCACACCACACCACTGTGTGAAAGTATTTTGAAACAATTTATTCAAATAGAAGAGATAATAATTTATCATGTTAGTGTCACCTATCACCCCCTATTAGTATGAATGTGCAGGTTTGCCTCATATTATCTACTAAATGTCAAGTCCATAGTAGATAACTGAGTGAATGTTGCTAAATCCACTTATTTTTTCACTGAAGCTTATTTGACTTTGTGGAGGCTTTGATCTCAATGTTCATTCAAAAAATAATACCTTTTTATTTATTTAGTTAAGATTTTATTTATTTATTGAGAGAAAGAACAAAGGAGAGTGAGAGAGAGCACAAGCAGGGGGAGGGGCAGAGGAAGAAGCAGGGTCCCTGCTGAGCAGGGAGCCCCATGTGGGGCTCCATCTCAGGATCCTGGGATCATGACCTGATCTGAAGGCAGATGCTTAACTGATTGAGCCACCCAGATACCCCAGTACCTATTTTGTATAATTCAATAATTTTCATTTTTCCTTATACTACGAGAGAGAAGTATTTAAGAGCTTATGTAGTCAGATTAATTAGCAAATATTTGTAGACCTTTTAAAAGAGAAAAGTGTAAGTTTGAATTGAAATGTAGTTTGCCTTTCTGTACGCCACTAATCATAGAAACAAATACTTCAAAGATTGGAATGGATATGAGTAACTACCTTGGTTATTTTGAAAGAAAATTGGTTTTCTTTTCTTTTCTTTCTTTTTTTTTTTTTTTTTTAGGAATATGATAGAACTGATGGTTTTTCGCATGGTCCTTTTGGCTTGAAGCCTAGATCAGGTAAGTATATATTCTGCAAATAAAATTTTTTGGTTATATATGAAACTAGAGTTTTCCAGCTTAAGTGGGATTGATTCCATAGTTTTAAGTACACATAGATTCTTTCCCCTCTCCTAAAAGTAATTTTCTCTTAACCTTATTTGTCTTTCCAATTCCCATTCCCCATTTCTTTCTTCCTCTTTACCTTCAAGCTCCTGAAACCTCAGCTTTTTGCCTTAGATATACTGCAGTCTTATTTCTACTCTACTGTGACTGCTATTAGAATGACCACTCTGCCAGCAGACCAAACACTGTTTGAAATTATAGCACTCCATTATATTGTGGTTTTAAAAAGGGATCTTTTCGCATTTGGCAAGCCCAAAAGAAAATGGATCCATGTTACTTGGCAAGGTATTGAATTATAGTTTTTATTCCTGAATAACTGTATTGACCTTCAAGAATAGTTTCCTTTTTCTTTAAAGATAATAAAGGCTGATTTATGTTCAATAATAATTTTAACCTGGAGCATAAGTTTCTAATAACATATGTTTAAATACGGACATATATAGGTGGTAGAAATCGTTACACTTGTCTTCCCTGTTGCTTTCAATTGTGCAGATAAGTAATTTCAATTATATTCTATAAAAATATTTAGAATGTATTAATAAGTAATACTGTTTTATGTAGTTTTGTACTGATTCTTTTTTATCATGCCTCTTTTCCCACCGCTGGTTGAGTCTTCCTATTAGCCTTGTAATAAGCTAGGAAATTTCTGTTTTTATAGCTTTTAGCCGCTCATCTCGCCAGGAGTATGGGGCAGCAGATCCAGGATTTACAATGAGAAGAAAGATGGAACATCTGCGGGAAGAACGAGAGCAAATACGACAACTTCGCAATGTAAGTGAGCTTGACCTTACAGATCTCTTTGTAGAAATGGGTTTAACTTGGGAAATTAGCAAGATACCTGAATTTTATTGCAAGGTTTTTAAAAATTTTGGATTATATAACGATTAGTAATATAATATGTAGCGTATGTATTTACATAGAGTATCTGTGATTTATACCCATTTCTTTACAGAATCTCGAGTCCAGGTTAAAAGTAATTTTGCCTGATGACATTGGAGCTGCACTGATGGATGGGGTTGTACTTTGCCATTTAGCCAATCACATAAGGCCACGCTCTGTAGCTAGTATTCACGTGCCATCACCAGCAGTGGTAAGTTTTATCTACAGTTTGTTAGCTCTCTAAGGGAAGTTAGAGCTTCTTGAGACTATCTTTAAATAATATACCTCAATAAATTTGATTTTTTTATTGATAAATTTCTGTATAAGTATGCTTGTAATATTTCTTCTTCCTCTTAACGTTGCAGCCTAAACTGAGCATGGCAAAATGTCGAAGAAATGTAGAAAATTTTCTTGATGCTTGTAAAAAGTTGGGTGTATCACAGGTAACTATTATTTTTCTAACAGAATTGTCATTTAAATGTTACTTTGTTGTGTGCATACTGGACTTTTTCTTCACAATCGGATGAATCATGCTTTCTGAACATGAAAATGTTCCCTTGGTACATTTTACTGAGCTCCAGCTTTGACCATAGCAGCTATCAAATGAATTGTTTAAGTTGCTTTTAAAGGCATTTATAAAACAGCTACATGTATGGAAAAGTTCTGTAATCGTACATATCACTGAGTAACCGTGACATAGTGGCTGTATTAAAACTTGATTATGATGTAATTGCTACTTTCATTTTTCCTGCTGAGAGACATTTGGACTCCTTTGTAAATCCATTGGTAGACTTTGATGGGAAGATCTGTAGGCAGTGTTAATTGCGTTTTATTTTATTTATTTATTTTTTAATTATAAAAAATATTTTATTTATTTATTTATTTGAGATAGAGCCAGAGAGAGAGCACAAGCAGGGCAGGAGGGCAGAGGGAGAGGAAGAAGCAGATTCTCCACTGAGTAGGGAGCCCAACGTGGGGCTCCATCCCACGACCCCAGGGTCATGACCTGACCCAATGGGAAGATGACCATCTGAGCCACCTAAGTGCCCTTGTTAACTGCATTTTAAACTTTATTTAAGACGTCAAATTGAAAATCTTAGTAACACATGATATCTCATGGGACAACCTTTGTCTGAAATTTGTAGGAACTGGCTTATGTTTCACATAATAGTTGCAGTATTATAAAATTAACAAAGCGATATTGTAAATGTATAATGAAAACTAATAGTTAAAATATTGCTTTTTTAGAAAACATTTTAGGCCTAACATCAAGATGATTGACTGTTGAGAGGACATGGTGTTGTTAACAGATCACAATATAGTTGTGTTTTTTTCCCCTTTTTTATTTTTAAAAATTTATTCTTATTGAGATATAATTGACATATAATGTTGTATAACTTTATTATACATTGTGTTGGTTTGATACTTTAATCTTGAGTTGTGCTGGGTTAGCTCTTTTTACCTGTGTCATCATAATCTGGTCTACAGATTCCACTTTGACTTCTTTCCTCAAGTGAATAAATATAATTTATTTAGAGAGAATCAGTTGAATTACAGTGTAATTTGGAAACTACACGCTGTTCTCCTCTAATTACATCTCTGTGCGTGACATGATATTTTAATATATTTTTTTTAAGATTTTATTTATTATTTATTTGAAAGAGCGAGAGCAAGAGAAAGAGTGAGCAAGGGGAGGAGCAGAGGGAGAGGGAGAAGCTGGCTCCCCACTGAGCAGGGAGCCTGATGCATCTTGATCCCAGGATACTGAGATCATCACCTGAGCTGAAGGTAGACGCCCAACCGACTGACACACTCAGGTGCCCCTGACATGATGTTTGAAAATTTAAATTCTTTTTATTGGAATTAAAAAAATTTTTTGAAGATTTTATATATTTGTCAGCGAAAGAGAGCACACACACACAGAGGGAGAAGCAGGCTCCCTTCTGAGCAGGGAGCTGGATGCTGGACTCGATCCCAGGTCTCTGGGATCATAACCTGAGCCGAAGGCAGATGCTTAACCAACTGAACCACCAGGCATCCCTAAAAAATTTAATTCTTAAATATTTTTATGTTAGCTCTTTCTTTTTAGTGCTCAATCTCTTGTTGAGAAAACAAAAATTAGAAAGGTTTGCTTTCTAGTTGCATTATATTCATTGCATTATATTCATTTTTCTGTTTTACCATTTTTACCTATGTGGGGCTTGATCCCAGGACTCTGAGACCATGACCTGAGCCGAAGGCAGAGGCTTAACCCACTGAGCCACTCAGGCGCCCCCAGATATATGCATTCTTTAATTTGGAGTAGATATCCAGGAGTGGAAAGACGGGAACGGATAGTAGGCGTGTACTTAACATTATAAGAAAGTACAAAACTATTTCCCAAAGTGGTTCTACCATTTTATATTCCTATCACCATTGTATGAGTTCTAGTTCCTCTACATTTTCAACCAGTATTTAATATAGTCAGTGTTGTTTTCTTTTTTAATTTTTGCTGTTCTAATAGGTATGTACTGGTTTGTCAGTGTGGTTTTAATTTGCATTTCCTTGGAGACTAATGATGTTGATCATCTTTTCAAGAGCTTATTTGCCATTTGTATGACTTCTTTTATGACGTGTTCTAATCTTTTGTCTGTTTTTTAATTGGGTTGTTTTCTTCTCATTGAGTTTGAGATTTCTCTACAAAGAAGGGACAAAGTCCTTTATCAGATGCATGAATTACAAATATTGTAGCATTAGTTTTGGCTTGTCTTTTCATTCTCATTATAATATCTTTCTTTTTAAAAAAGATTTTATTTATTTATTTGACAGATAGAGATACAGCAAGAGTAGGAACACAAGCAGGGGGAGTGGGAGAGGAAAAGCAGGCTTCCCGCCAAGCAGAGTGCCCGATGTGGGGCTCAATCCCAGGACCCTGGGATCACGACCTGAGCCAAAGGCAGAGGTTTAATGACTGAGCCACCCAGGTGCCCCTATAATATCTTTCAAACAGTGGAAGTTATATATTTTTTGAAGTAAAATATCATTTTTTAAAATTCTGCTTTTTGTTTCAAACCAAAAAAATCCTTGTATAACTCAGGGTCACAAAAATTTTCTCCTATGTTTATTTCTAGAAGTTTTATAATCTTTTTTTTAAAGATTTATTTATTTATTTGATAGAGAGAGTGAGAGAGAGCATGAAGGGGAGGGAGAGCAAGAAGTAGACTGCCTGCAAGTAGGGATCCTAATGTGGGGCTCGATCCCAAGACCCCCACATCATGACCTGAGCTGAAGGCAGATGTTTAACCAACTGATCCACCCAGTCGCCTCTAGAACTTTTATAATCTTAAGTTTTATATTTAGGTCTATGATCAAATTTTAGTTGTGTTTGTGTGATATGGATAGTAATCCTCTTTTTTTACACCTGAGGTTGGGCACACACTTGATTTTTTTTTTAACATTAATGTAATTAACATACTGTAAAATTCACTGATTTAAAGTATATAGTTCAGTGGTTTGTAGTATAGTCACAGAATTGGGCAAGAGTCACAACAATCTAAGTTTAGAATATTCTTTTTCTTCCAAGTTTTAATTTAAATTCCAATCAGTTAACATACAGTGTAATATTAGTTTCAGGTGTAGTATTTAGTGACTCATCACTTACATATAATACCAAGTGCTTATCACATGCCCTCCTTAATACCAGTCCCCCTGTCCACCTCCTCTCCAGCAGCCCTTAGTGTGTTCTTTATAGTTAAGAGTCAGTTTTATGTTTTGCCCCTCTCTTTTTCCCCTTTGTTCATCTGTTATGTGTCTTAAATTCCATATATGAGTGAAATCATATGGTATTTGTCTTTCTATGACTGACTTATTTTGTTTACTATGATACTCACTAGATCCATCTATGTCCTTGCAAATGGCAAGATTTCATTCTTTTTTATGATTAATATTCCATCGTGTATACCACTTTTTTATCCATTCATCAGTGGATGGATATTCAGACTCTGCCCATAATTTGGCTATTGTTGATAATTCTGTTATAAATATCAGGGTGCATGTATCCCTTCAAATCAGTATTTTTGTATCCTTTGGGTAATTATCTAGTAGTGCAGTTGGAGGATTGTAAGATAGTACTATTTTTAACTTTTTGTTTATTTTTAAAATTTTATTTTATTTTTTCAGTGTTCCAAGATTCATTGTTTATGCACCATGTAGCTCCATGCAATCTATGCTCGCCTTAATACCCACCACCAAGCTCACCCATACCTCTACCCGCCCCCTTCCAAAACCCTCAATTTGTTTCTCAGAGTCCATAGTCTCTCATGCTTCATCTCCCCCTCTAATTCTCCCTCTTCATTTTCTCCTTCCTTCTCCTAATGTCTTTCATGTTATTCCTTATGCCCCACAAGTAAGTGAAACCATATGGTAATTGACTTTCTCTGCTTGACTTATTTCACTCAGCATAATCTCCTCCAGTCCTATCCATGATGACACAAAAGTTGGGTATTCATTCTTTCTGATGGAGGCATAATATGGACCATATCTTCTTTATCCATTCATCTTTTGAAGGGCATCTTGGCTCTTTCCACAGTTTGGTGATTGTGGCCCTTGCTGCTCTAAACACTGGGGTACAGATGGCCCTTCTTTCACTACATCTGTATCTTTGGGGTAAATACCATAGTGCAATTGCAGGGTCATAGGGTAGCTCTATTTTTAATTTTTTTAAGGAATCTCCACACTGTTTTCCAAAATGGCTGCACCAACTTTCATTCCCACCAACAGTGTAAGAGGGTTCCCCTTTCTCCACATCCTCTCCAACACTTGTTGTTTACTGTCTTGTTGATTTGGGCCATTCTGACCGGTGTAAGGCGGTATCTCAATGTGGTTTTAATTTGAATCTCCCTGATGGCTAATGATGATGAACATTTTTCATGTGTCTGTTAGCCATTTGTGTGTATTCTTTGGAGAAGTGTCTGTTCATGTCTTCTGCCCATTTTTGTCTTGATTATCTTTTTTTTTTTAATTAATTTTACTTTTTTTAAACATATAATATATTTTTATCCCCAGGGGTACAGGTCTGTGAATCGCCAGGTTTACACATTTCACAGCACTCATCATAGCACATACCCTCCCCAATGCCCATAACCCCACCCCTCCAACCCCCCTCCCCCCCATCAACCCTCAGTTTGTTTTGTGAGATTAAGAGTAACTTATGGTTTGTCGCCCTCCCAATCCCATCTTGTTTCATTTACTCTTCTCCTAACCCTTTAACCCCCCATGTTACATCTCCTCTCCCTCTTATCAGGGAGATCATATAATAGTTGTCTTTCTGCATAGTATTCCATTGTGTATATATACCACATCTTCTTTATCTATTCATCTGTTGATGGACATCTAGGTTCTTTCCATAGTTTGGCTATTGTAGACATTGCTGCTATAAACGTTTGGGTGCACATGCCCCTTTGAA